GCCACTGTTATACTTCACCTGGAGAAATTGGGTGAATGTGGCCCCTACCAATTTCTGTGCCACAAATAGGAGAATTTTGATGGGCTTTCCACATACCACCATGCAAAATAACTTAGGGAAGTCTGCATTTCCCTGGCTGGTACAACGCTGACACCATTTCCAAATCCTTTTAAGAGGTAAACCACATGTGCTTTTTTTATGAACGGTGTCCTTAATAGATCCCACATCTGGCCTCAGCTTGGCAAATGTGAACATGATCAAAGGTGCGAGGCAGCAAAGTGAGTTTTAAAGATTCTCATTTAGCCCCTGGGCCCCATAGGCACAACCTCTGGCTGTTACAGTAACGGATGTCTTTCCAGCTGACCTGTCCTCTGGAGAATTGATCCCACATTCTTCACACAGGTGATCGATTTGGCTCAAGGTGGCTGCGTGTCTCAGCAAGGCATTTGCAAGCTCTGCAGCAGACCCCGACGCACATCCCAGCCGCAGCTTCAGAGACTCGGCTTCAGAGCCTTTTGTTCTGCAAGCAAAGGACATATGCTCCACACGGCACAGAGTCCTTGGCAGCCAAATTAGATGCCGAGAGACGGATGTGACCCCCGGCAGCTCTGAACGGCCGAGTGATGGGCGTGCACAGCTGCAGTGCAAGGTTTCCGTTGCTGCTGGAGCACAGCTGGAGCGTCGAGGTGCTGTCAGCGGCTACACGTGGCCAGAATGCAGGATGCCTGGCAGTGCAGCTGCGGGAGAGCTGGGTTTACATGCACACACATGTGTAGCCGGAGGACAAAAGAACCTCACAGCGTGCAGCTGGACTGCAGCAGCCACATCGCACAGTGTGTCCATGTGCAGCTGGGACATCAACCTTTGCTATACATGTGCACAGCCAGAAGGCAAGAACACTGCTCTGGGTTTATAGAGAGACCCTAGACATGTGCTGTTGTTTTTCTGGACAAGGCCATAGCTTCTTACGAGACGACTGCCGGCTGCTGCACAATGTCCTTTGTTCTCTGGCAAGTGTAGGCAGACAATTAATAGAATCTACTTAACATTTTGAGGGACGCAGGTGGTGCTGTGGGTTAAACCACAGAGCCTAGGACTTGCCGATCAGAAGGTCGGTGGTTTGAATCCCTGCGACGGTGTGAGCTCCCGTTGCTCGGTCCCTGCTCCTGCCAACCTAGCAGTTCGAAAGCACATCAAAGTGCAAGTAGATAAATAGGTACCGCTCCGGCGGGAAGGTAAACGGCGTTTCCGTGTGCTGCTCTGGTTCTCCAGAAGCGGCTTAGTCATTCTGGCCACATGACCCGGAAGCTGTACGCTGGCTCCCTCGGCCAATAAAGCGAGATGAGCGCTGCAACCCCAGAGTCGGCCACGACTGGACCTAATGGTCAGGGGTCCCTTTACCTTTACCTTTACTTAATGTTCTGCACTGTGCACCTACCTACACATCACAAAAGTACAAGAGCCACCAGTATTTCCAGAATTGGCAATGGATCTGTGTGTTGCTTGACCAAAAGGAGCAAGCACATAAAGATCCAATTGTGCTCATGTCTGGCAGAAATAGCATGTCACTGGACGGCAGCAGATGTTTCAGGAAAGGATTGGATTGCCAATCTCTAGCAGCTTGCTATGCATGAAAATTTACACAACACCATCCAGCAGAGGACCTAAAGTGAGCTTCTGTAAATTTGCAGAAACTTTGACGTCTTTCATCATGTAGATTGGCAAAGGTGCCTCCGCCTTTGCACGTGGAGAAATGCATGCATACAGATCCATGAATGCTTCGAGGTGTTGTGCAACAGACGTGTGAACTGAAAGAGGAAAATGGGCAACGTGACAAGAATGTCAGCACTCGAGTGTTTGCTAAAGTTGTCGTAGTTTATTGTTGTTTATTGCCCACACCCAGATCTGCTTTGCTTTAGCAAAGTGGTGGCCTGTTGTACCTTTGGATCATGTCCCGGTTAGATAAATTCATGGAAAGTGGACCTAAAGGTAATGGGACCCCTGACCATTAGGTCTAGTTGTGACCAACTCTGGGGTTGCGGCGCTCATCTCACTTTATTGGCCGAGGGAGCCGGCGTACAGCTTCCGGGTCATGTGGCCAGCATGACTAAGCCGCTTCTGGCGAACCAGAGCAGCGCACGGAAACGCCGTTTACCTTCCCGCCGGAGTGGTACCTCTTTATCTACTTGCACTTTGACGTGCTTTCAAACTGCTAGGTTGGCAGGAGCAGGGACCGAGCAACGGGAGCTCACCCCGTCGCGGGGATTCGAACCACCGACCTTCTGATTGGCAAGTCCTAGGCTCTGTGGTTTAACCCACAGCGCCACTTGTGTCCCGGAAAGTGGACCTATCCAAGGTTATTAGTCACCTGAGCTAAATGGAACCTCCACTTACAGAGACAGTCTGTCTCTAAGTAGCTGGAGGGATAAATATCAGGCTGTTTCTATGATGAGCAGCCAAAGGTATCTGTGTGGCTGAATTTGGAAACGGGCTTCTGAATGAGATGGATCTTCGTCTTGCACAACAGGACAGTAGTTATGCTCTTATGGAAGTATGCACAGTTTCCTCCAATATGGAAAGGTGCATTTATATTAAGAATAATTATTTCTAGAATTGGACCTCTACACATCAATCAGCATATATACACTTTATGCAAGCCTAGACCTTCTTCTGTCCTCTTGTTGGCAATGTGTCAGTGGCCACTCTAATGGGAAATTGTATCTCTAGGTTCAGTCCCACTCCTATCCAATAACATCTGGATGAGAAAACCACAGGGCTAAGAACAGGGGTGTGGAACAGGCTGGTGCAAAAATACATATATCTAAATGAGAACTCCTGAGTGCTAGAATCCAGGTTTGAGACACGTACGCTTTAGTGAGAGACCCCCAGCAGAGATTTAAAGTCACAAAATATGCAGCAAAGTAAAGCTGTTAGACCTTTAAAATGTGCCCCTCTGAGTGAGTTCCAAAATGCCCCCTTAAAAGGTTTCTTTCCAAAGTTTCCCTCTTCCCCCAACATAGGAAAAACACCACATGCTTGGTAAGTTAAAAAACGGCTTACTTACACTCTCCAAAGGTCAGATTCATGAATTTCAGAATGTAGCACAGGCAGTAAAATTTGGTTTGGTTACAAAGTGGTGAAAGTTCCTAAATTATTTGTATAGGAACTCAAGAATGGCTGATGAGAGCCATACATTTAAGCTGGAGCATCCAGCTCAAACCTCTTCACATGTTGAGCTTCTCAGGTAGACTGGGGTAAAACACTTGATTACCTAATTCCTCCCAATGTGAGGGGAAATAGGCTCATAGAATCATAGAACAGGTTAATAGAATCATAGAACTGTAGAGTTGGAAGGGACTCTGAGGATCATCTGGTTCAACCCCTTGCAACGCAGGAATATGCAGCTGTCCCATGTGGAGGATCAAACCTGCAACCTTGGCGTTATCAGCACCACATTCTAACCAACTGAGCTATGCAGTAGACATAGCTAAGCCTGTCAGGACAGCTTACTCTATAGTATTAACCCTTCATGCATTAATTAGACTTAAGCATTTGGGTTTATTGAGGCTGGTTATCCCGCAGACAAATGCATTCCTCCAGACCACTCTGTCCAGTCCCCAGGGCCCTCTTTGAGTGTGTTTTTCCCCGGCCGGGATGTGTCCTTAAATGCTGATAAAGCCGCTTGCTTGCTTGCTTGTTTGCTTGCTTACTTGAATGGATAGAGTATAGAGAGCATGCATGTGTGAAGGTGTGTAGAAGTGGGCCTACTGTACAAAGGTACAATTCACGTTCATTGCTCCACCCACTTTTGACTCTGACCCTGCCTACCCCTGGCAAGTGGCCTCTGGGAGGTTGCCCAGAAGGGAATGAGACCCTTGAACTGAAAAGGGTCCCTTAGCTTTTCATGACTCATGGCTAAGATTAATGATGCGGTTCTTTCCCACATGGCTGTTGCCCAGCAATTGAGTCTCACAAAGCTATGCTCTTCTCTGTTAATCTCAGATCTAAGGACAAAAACCACCACCACAAAAACAGCCAGGAGAAACTTCTAAGTTTCTAAGTTGCTCTGAGATATAAAATGTGGGTGATGGACGGGCATGACCCCTGGGGAGGGGATTGAGATACTAAAAGCAGTGGCATTGCTCTCTTATGGTCAGATGTGCTGGCTGCAGGAGACCATCTGCTTTGGGATTTGGCTCCCTGAATTGCCCATTCCTTCTAGGAAAACCAAACACCTTCTGGGCTTCATCAGCCTCATGCAAGCAGCTTCCGTACCTGCCTGCTCTGCTTCCCAACCTCATTAGTCACTGGGCCCTCCTTTCTCTTATATAAGCTTCCCTTCTAGGAAAAGACTCTGGACAGAAGTAGCAGTTGTGCAAGAGATGCTCAGCTGCCCCTGCTCCACGTGTCACTTTCCCTCAGCACCTGGTTTCAGACAGCACATGACATGACCTCACGTTGCTGTACATCACCCCACCCTCGCCTTGCAACATTTGTCCTCAGACATGGGAGTCTCCATAGTTCAGTGGCAGGGCACATGTTTTGCAACCGCCTGTTTTTTTTGTTCAGGCATCTCTCATTTTTAAAAAAAACAGAGGAGGAGGAGGAGGATTTCAATTTATACACTGCCCTATACCCGGAGGTCTCAGGGCAGTTCACAAACAAGACCACAATATACAAAATCAAACCAAAAACAATAACCCCCCCCCCACCAAAAAGAATCACATTCTAAAAGGGTGTTGGATGTCAATAAGATCAACCAAAGGACTGGTTAGAAAGGAACAGAGGGTGGTACCCAGAAATGGAATGCACCTCTGAATAAGTCTTTGAAGAACCTCTGTTGACAAGGATAGGCGATGCAAGTCTAGGAGGAGCAATGGTTTGACACAGCATAAATCAGATTAGAATCCTCCTGCGTAGGTTGTAATGACCGGAGGCAGTGCGGTGAAATCACAGAGGGGCTGGGCAATGACATCACATCTCCCATTGTGACATTATAAGAAAGACCCGTGGAGAGATAGCAGCTCCTTCTTGTAGCATCAAACGCCATCCTTGTCTGTGCAAACTGATCCCTATTCCCAGGAAGGTTGTGGGAATATGTTTCATACCAGCGACACCTGCTGAAATGTTCTTTTCTGCCATCAGAGGTGCTGGAGATCTGTTCCCCTTTGCACCTGACCATTCTACCATTCACCCTCTGCCTGCAGCCCCTGCCTTAGTCTTACAAAGAGCCTATGAAGCAAATTAGGTAGGTTATATCCCCTTGGTAGGCTTTGTGCCTGAGATCTGAAGAAAGAAAAAGTTGTTTTGAAAAGATGCATTTGAAAGGAAAAAAAAGAATGAAAAGGAAGACTGGACTCCTGGACCATTTACAGGTGAGCCAATTCCAGCAGCCAAAGGAGTTTTGTTAACTTTTTCACATAAAGCCTGGAAATTCATTGTCCTGTACAACTATTAAAGGTCCAGAAGCCCAGTTCCCCTGCTTTGCATCTGATCCACCTACTGGGGTTCCTTACCTGTCAGGGTGGTCCAGCAGCAAGGATGTCCCAGACATCCTCTAAGACCTTGTGAGTGGACACAGGATCACGCCTAGGACTGGTGCTGCAATATACTGGAATGCATTTGCTTGAAAGACGCCTGGATGGCTTCTTTCAACCCCTCCCTTGAAGCTGCTTGCCCCCTAAGTGTCAAGCAAGCAAGTGGCATTTGGGTACAATAAATTAGCCTGGAGACTGTAGTCTCTATGCTCACTGGGAGCAAGAGGGTGAGGTTGTAGGGAGGTCAGCATTGTGCAGGCGCGCCAGCAGAGTCAATATGGTGCTCCTGCTGGTCTGCACAGTGCTGACCTCTTCATCACCTTGCCCTCTCTGCTGCTTCACAGCACCCCTCCCTTCCTCGAAGGTAAGAGTGGCTTGGTGGCTGTAAATCCTGCTTTATAGAGCACGGTCCTCTATTTGAAGAGCTGTCTGGTCCAAATCTGGTTAAAACATTGAAGAACCCAGGGAGGAAGTGCAGGGAGGGGACCTTGAAGTTGTCCATCAACATCTGGCAGTACCTGTGCAGCAGGTGGTCGCAGCCCTCCCAACTATGGTGAGATGCATTGTGTTTCTATTTAAGCCACACGGCTTATTTCTAAATCTGCATCTCCACATACAGATTTTGCAGGTGTGCATTTTATGCAAATATGTGTCCTCTTTTGGGGGAAGAGGCGTTCCCTGGTTTTTTTGGCGCTGCATTAGCATCTGTCCTGGAGATGGTGGGAAGCCTGTGAGCATTGGAGGAAGGGTGTCATTTTGCAGAAGGAACGTAGAGGGCACTAGTGCTTCAGTTATGCTTTCTGCACAGAGCAGTGTTCCTTCTCAGGGAACTCTGGGCGTTGAATCAGATGGCAGGCTTTGGATGGCCAGGAGACGATAGTGAGTGTGCATATACAGGAAAGGACAGAGTGTGATTGATTTCCCAGCACAGAGTACCATGTGTTGCTTTCTGGGAGCTCCTTGAGGTCTCTTTGAGGAGGCAAGCATAGCCCCCAGCTGTTGAGCAAAATAAAACAAAATCTTTAAAATGGGAATGCCATTTCCTGGATACAGCTGCAGTGGAGGGGGCGTGAACAGTAGCGGAGTGTAAGCACCAAACCTGCCACTGTCCCTCTCCCCCTGCTTTTTTGGGTGTGTGTTAACATTTATATCAGCAACCTCAGATATACAGATGATACATCTCTGATGGCAGAAAGTCAGGAGGAATTAAAGAACCTCTTAATGAGGGTGAAAGAGGAGAGCGCAAAATATGGTCTGAAGCTCAACATCAAAAAAACTAAGATCATGGCCACTGGTCCCATCACCTCCTGGCAAACAGAAGGGGAAGAAATGGAGGCAGTGAGAGATTTTACTTTCTTGGGCTGCATGATCACTGCAGATGGCGACAGCAGTCACGAAATTAAAAGATGCCTGCTTCTTGGGAGAAAAGTGATGACAAACCTAGACAGCATCTTTAAAAAGCAGAGACATCACCTTGCGGACAAAGGCCCGTATAGTTAAAGCTATGGTTTTCCCAGTAGTGATGTATGGAAGTGAGAGCTGGACCATAAAGAAGGCTGATCGCAGATGCATTTGAATTATAGTGCTGGATGAGACTCTTGAGAGTCCCATGGACTGCTAGAAGATCAAACCTATCCATTCTGAAGGAAATCAGCCCTGAGTGCTCACTGGAAGGACAGATCCTGAAGCTGAGGCTCCAAGACTTTGGCCACCTCATGAGAAGAGAAGACTCCCTGGAAAAGACCCTGAAGTTGGGAAAGAGGAGGAGGAGACGACAGAGGGTGAAATGGTTGGACAGTGTTCTCAAAGCTACCAACATGAGTTTGACCAAACTGCGGGAGGCAGTGGAAGACAGGAGTGCCTGGCGTGCTCTGGTCCATGGGGTCACGAAGAGGCGGACACGACTACAGTAAACAACTAAACTACAACATTTAGTCCTGTTCTAAAACCTCAGGAGGACATACACGCTCACTTCCAAAATATTCTGCAACACTTTTGATGAGAGCTGTTTATGGTTGTTGGTGGTAGTCTGCATTCCTGCTGTAACAGCCTGTAATCTTATGATAGCTTCTAAGGTTGTTATTTCCATCCAGACAATATCTGCTTCCAAGCCAAACGATGCTGGCGTGCATCCTTCCTTGAGGTGAATAAAGTGGAAAATGCCATGCTTAAGGATAATCCAGATTGGTAGCTAACTGGCTATGCCTGGGGGTGGGGGAAACTGAACTGTCTGAATACTGGAAACGTCAAAGAATTGTAGCACTGTAGAGTTGGAAGTGATCCAGGCATCACTAGTCCAACCCCCTGCAATGCTTCCTCTTCATGTTGTTCCCTGAGAGTAGGGGTAGACAACATGGTTCCCTCTAGATATTGTAGGCTCAAACTCCAATCACCCTGGTCATTGGCCACGCTAGCTAGGGCTGATGGGAGTTGGAATCCAACAACATCTGAAGGACACCATATAGACTACCCCTACCCTAGATGGCTCAAGACAGTAAAACAAACAAACACATGTAATTTCTACCAGGGTAGATTGATTTTTTTTTTTTTACACATGGTACAGTCAAGTAGACTCCACTCCTAAAACTGTATTCCCCTGAGCGGTTGTTCAGGGTGCAGATGGTCTGATTCAGTACAGTGGTACCTCGGGTTACAGACGCTTCAGGTTACAGATGCTTCAGGTTACAGACTCCGCTAACCCAGAAATAGTACCTTGGATTAAGAACTTTGCTTCAGGATGAGAACAGAAATCGCACGGCAGCAGCGGGAGGCCCCATTAGCTAAAGTGGTGCTTCAGGTTAAGAACAGTTTCAGGTTAAGAATGGACCTCTGGAATGAATTAAGTACTTAACCCAAGGTACCACTGTATACTCTAACAACACTTGGAGGATTTGGTGGGTGACTCCTGAATGTGTGAAATCTGTGCTGATGTGATTTGTGTGTGTAGTTTGCACGCCATCCTCAGCTCCTTGGAGGAAAGGTGCTATAGAAAGGTCCTAAATAAATAAGGATGGCTGTACATGCCTCATCTCTGGGATTCTAGATATGGAATTGGCCCAGAATGTTTCCTCCCCGCTTGCTCCCAAGCAGTGACTACTCCATTTGATTCAAGGCATAATAGGTAACTCAGAAATTGGTTGTGTTCCTCTTTGGACTGTTCAGGGTTAGCACCACCAGGAAGGACACACCCAGGCCAGCAAGAGGACACAAAGCATCAGAATCACAGGCTGGCCAACAATGAAGTATCTATTACATCATGCCTGTGTTTCCGATCAGTAGAGAACAACTGTTGTGTGGTGGTGCCAGCCTGTCTGCCCATTTCAGAGGGAGACACACAATTTCCTTCCCTCAACCCCTCTTCCTGGCCTTTGAGTTCTGAGTCACTGCCGGATGAAGTGATTAACCTCTTGTTCAAGAGAGACCAGCTTTGAAATGGACAAGCATCAGCAAAGGCTTGGGACTCATTCATGCAGTGGTGCAGTTCGGCCCAAAGCCCAGAGCCCCACAATCCAAGGGTCCCTGAATTGATAATCCAGGGCCAGGGAGTGGCCAGTGTTGCGGGGTGGGAGGTGGCAAAGAGACTCTGTATTGGCACCTGGACCAACATGGGTATGCTGGGAATAAGGACAGGCAAATCTGTCAATTTCATTTTTCTTAGTTTCTCATTTTTCTAATTTTCCAGTTCTTCACTTCTACAACAATTTGTGGATAGGAGAAAAAAAAACCCGTAGGGAAATTTGCAAATTTCTCCTTATGAACATATCGTATGGCATTGTGACCAATATACACATATTGTATGTGGTTTTCGTGGTGTTAGCAAACTTCACAAGTAAAGGAATTCTGGTTGAAAACAGACCAAACGATGCCTTTCCCCTCCAACCAAGATTGGGCTCCCTGAAGCAGTTCAAAGTTATAAGCCACCAAAATGGTTCAACATAAAGCTACTTATGGCAGAGTCTCTTCTGATCTTGGTAGCTGATGGCATAATCAAAGTTCCAGGCTCTTCTCTCCAAAGAGAGGCCATAGAGGGCACTGTTGGCGGTCTTGGATGTTGGCTGGTAATCTTGGAAGTTGACTGTCCACCAATGCAGCATCTTATAGATACTGGCAGTTCAAGGCCCTACTCTCCAAAAGGGCTGTTCTTGACTAGCACAATGGAGGAGCAACCAAAGAACTTAGAAGCAGCCATTGTAACCTAGGTCAGAGGTGGAAAACCTGTGGCTCCTTTGATGTCGCTGGTTACAACTCTCATTCCATCATTCTCTCATCATCCTAGACAATTGGCCCATGCTGGATATTGGCCAATGGGACTTGGAGTCCAACCACATCTGGAAAGTCGCAGGTTCCCCACTCCTGTCCTAGGTGGCAATGTATGAAGTGGGTGGGTATGCATAGAAGGAATGATGGTAGACCTGGTTCAAATGATGCAGCTGTGTCTATGGAGACCACCCAGAGAGGACTCTGCTAGACCGCATCAGCATGAATCCATTATATTAACCATGAAAGGTTGCTCATAGGCATACAGGCAGAATCTCCCAGCTCTACTCCAATTCCAGTTCTGACATCCCCAATAATTACATGATTATCTGGCAAACATTTACACAACTTTCCAGAATTCTGATTATTAGGTTTCTGCTTTCAGTTGAAAATTCCACACTTTGATAAAAGTATGTGGCAATTGCACTTGTGTGTCAGGCTTCAGGGAATCGGATACCTCCCCCAGTGGCAGTAATTAAGAAGATCAAACAAAAGGAGCGTTCTTACCAGATAGTTTCTTTAATAATCACAGCGAAGGACAAAGGAATGCATATCTCTCTAAAAATGATGTTGCTCCCAGTTAAGGTCCACACCCTCCGTCCCCATTAATCTACATCACTCCTACGTCGGGTAATCTGAGCTTGTTGCCTCTGCGCTTTCTGTTCTATCACTCAGTGCCCATCTAGTCCTAGGTAAAGGGGGGGGGTCAGGAATGCTGTCCAAGGACACTGAATCTGCCAGCTGTCTCTCTCCTGGTGTTTCCTCTTCTAGCTGTTCCTCACCCTGTATTTCCCAGCTTTTCTCCTCTGGACTATACCCCTCTGCAAACCACTATTCTAAATCAATCCTGTCCTCCTGCCCTTGGGAAGGTTCAGGAGAAGGAGTTGGGCGGTTCCCACCATTCCTCCTCAGTCCAGTCCCTGACATCGTTCTTTGCAAATCTCAAGCATTTGGTTAATCTGTGCAGAGCATTTTAGACAATAGTTAAATGTTCTTGTGTTTATAGCTACAGTATAACTCAGGAGTTGCCAGTGTTGTGCCCTCCAGAGATTGTTGGACTACAAACTCATATGGTGTCTGGCCATGGGCCACGTAAGTTGGAAATGATGGGAGTTGCAATAGGAGGTGTGTATTTGTGTGGAACCTTTATAACAAACTGTTCCTCTGGTGCTACTGCAGATTTTCTAAGTGTGCTGCTGTCACAAAACAAAAGCAGAGCCTGTAACTCACTCCTGAAAACTCTGGAAAAACCAGGCATTGTTCAAACTAGGTCCCCTTGTCTTTCCTGCATGGCAGTCACTAATAGCAGCCACTCACAATTTCAGGGGCCGCTGCTCCTACCTGTACATGATTTCAGCAACACCCCTTAAATCTCTAATGCTCCCCTCCTCAAAAAGCAATAACCCTTCCCACTGTTAAGCTCCGCTGCTTAATGCTTGGAAGACGGAGTCAACAATGTCATCTCTGGCATGCTAGGGGTGCTCTCAGCCCTCTGGGCTACCCAAATCCATATACAGAGAAGCATTTGGTTCAAGATGGTTTTTCTTGCCAGTGCCTGACTCTGCCTCGCTTGGGGTGTGTGTGTGTGCTTTTCCACTACTTTAATGAAAGCAGGAGGGAAGAACATTACCACATTTTTAATGGTGTGACTCCACAGGCCTCTAAGATCTAATGATGGCCTATTAGAGGGTCTCTGTAGCTTTTAACGAGGCACTGACATTTTTTAATTTTTGCCTCAGCCACTGGAGACTCCTTACAGGAGGTCAAAGCTGGTTGATTTATGCCCATCCTGCCGTCTTGGTTTATCCAACTGCCTCCCCGTTATGCAAGGGCCTGGTGACTCACAAAGGCTGGCTGGCTTTGATTTCTGCATGGTTTGAGCCCATGTTTGGGAAGGGTTTCCCACTGAATGCCCCGAGCTGCTACATTCTCAAAGGGCAAGCGCTCTCTGACCACTGTTTATAGGTTCCGCATAATGCAAACCTTCCAGGCTGCATTCTAAAGCATCAAGCCCAGATTTGACTCTACTTTGATGCTTTCTTGTGGGGGTGGAGATATTTGGCATCACAGTTCAGATCAGGTCGCCGTCAACCAATCTACACATGTGTATTCTGAACTTCGAGGCTCCCTGGTTTTTCCACCTGAGTGAGGACCAGACAATAGATCCTTGCTTCATTTATTTTTAACATTTCTATACTGCCCGCCACCAAAAGACCACAGGGTGGTTTGCAACTCAGAACAGAAATAAACAGCACATCAACACATAATGTTTCAGAAACTTAAAATGGGTATATAAGTACAATTCATAATAATAAACAATACATAGCAGTAAAGAATACAGTACATAATACAGACCCTCCAAGTGTCCCTGTTTTCCAGGGACAGTCCCGGATTTACAGAAGACATCCTGGTTTCTGATTTGATCCCGGAATGTTGCACGCAATTGTGAATTTTTAATGGTGTCTGCTCTTTGGTCCTCATATTGTTTAAGAAACTGTGTGCTTTGTAGGGTCATCTTTAAATGTAAACTGAATCAAATTCCCCACCCCCATCCTTAGTTTTAACACACACCAGTTTGTAGGGTAACTGGGAGGAAATGGAAAGAATTCTGCCCCTTTGAGTTCTGTGCTCAGTCCAGACTGCTCCTCATCCAGGTCTCTGCTCTTCTAGCCAGCTAGTGGCTCCTTCCACTCCAGGTTCTGTTTTCACTTGCCAAGTTATGGGATGATGGACCTCGTTGGACCAGAAGGCAAGAAAAGAAAGACATAAAAACAAAGGAAAGCCATCCAAGTGGCAAAATTACGACTTGGCTATGACAGTAAATCTTGTGCTGCAGGTCCTTGCCAGCTCCTCTCTCCCACAATGAGTCAATTGGTGAAGAACATATTGTTTTTTAGGAAAGGCATCTACAACTTTCGTTTATTTTGTTGACATTTTCAAAGGACATTTTGAAACTTGGTTTAACTGCCCATGTCAGGAAGATTTCAGTGAGGATGAGACAAGGGAATCAGAGCTTACAAAAGTTCTATAAAACACACACAACCTCCCAAAGCAATGAAGAAAAGTATTGAGTTCAAATTACTAATCAGGGAAATGTGATTACTTGATTCTTTTTTAGGTTAAGGGGGGGCACAATCACACATTTGCAGATTGTTTTTACAATGAAAATATAATGATGGGCAACCATTGTACAAAATCTACAGTATACAGTCAGGAAAGAGAGGTAAAAGGTAAAAGGTAAAGGTAAAGGACCCCTGGATGGTTAAGTCCAGTCAAAGGTGACTATGGGGCTGCGGCGCTGATCTCACTTTCAGGCCAAGGGAGCCGGTGTTTGTCCGCAGACAGCTTTCTGGGTCATGTGGCCAGCAGGACTAAACCGCTTCTGGAGCAATGGAATGCTGTGACAGAAACCAGAGCGCACGGAAACACCATTTACCTTCCCACCACAGCGGTACCTATTTATCTACTTGCACTGGTGTGCTTTCGAACTGCTAGGTTGGCAGGAGCTGGGACAGAGCAATGGGAGATCACTCCAGCGTGGGGATTCAAACTGCCAACCTTCTGATCGGCAAGCTCAAGAGGCTCAGTGGTTTAGACCACTAGGAGAACATCAGCCTATGTATGCAGATGATCTCAAGTTCTAGCCCCAGCATTTCCAGGTAAGCCTTGGGAAAGACTCCCTGGAGAGCCATTGCCACTCATTGTAGATTAATGGTGGAGACCCTCTGGCCTGTGGGCCTGGCTAGGTCCACCAGATCTCCCCAACTGGCCCACGAGGCCATTTTGGCTACAATACACCCACCTGCCTTATACCCTATGGCCTGTGATGTCAGGTGCGGGGCACGGCTGAACCAAAGGAGATGTGCAGAAACCACCAATCAGCTGATTGGCCGCACAGCACTTTGCAAGCTGGCCCTACCATTAGGCAGAATGAGGTAACTGTCTCAAGTCACAAATGCTAGAGGGCAGCAGGGCCAGTTCTCTGGCTGGTCCTCACCAGACTCCTGGCTGTATCCTTCTGCTGGAGAACAGAGCTGTGCCCAGAAGCCTCAGCGATAAGCTTTGGTGCCACAAGCTGCCAATTTCTCTGTGAGGTTTCACTCTTGTGATGAGCTGTCAGAGCTGCAGCTTGGGCCATTCTCTTGATAATGAAGTGTCCCTAGGCTCTGGGCTGGCCCTACCCCCTCAGGCCATGGATTGTACTGGGAGACTTACCTCTGGCTAGCACATAGACTAATGCCTAACCCAGCCTGAGCAGCACAATACCTTCATTCCATACATAGAAAGTGTCTGGACTGGTAGTGGGAAATCCTGCTTCAGCACTGTCAACAGGATAGTGCCCACTGGTGTCGCACACAGCTCTGTCTCCCAACAGGAGGATACAGCCAGGAGGAACAAGTGGGGGGCAGCCCCTGCGGCCTTCCAGCATTTCCTGCCTGAGGTGGTTGCCTCATTCTACCTAATGGTAGGGCCGGCCTTGGTTAGTCCACCTGTTTTTGTATTGTCTACACTGCCTGGCAGTGAATTATCATGTTTTTCAAGAGGAGTTTTGTGTCATACCAGCCCTTCCTGGAAGTTCTAGGGATTGAACCTGGAACTTTCTGCATGCACTGCCTACGTTCTCCCTCCATTGTTGGAGGCAGAGATGAGATCCATTTTGTTGTTTCTTCTTTCCCTTCAGAACACAATCACTTGAACAATTAAGCTATATCACGTGTGAATTTTCAGTTGGCAGAAACTGGTCTTCATGGGGGTATTTAGCACTTGCCAAACTGGATGTTGCAGAATCCGCATAGCCAAGTATAATGCCAGCTGTTTCTGATATGGCAGGCAGCTGTGGGCTTATCAGCCCCAGAGGTGTATGTAAGTAGCAATTTAAAGTGCTTCTTAAAATGGGTAAGGACAGCTCCATAGTTACGAGGCTAACTCGACATAATCTTGTTATCTGCATCCTGTTTAATTATGGCTAACTGATAGTAATCGATGACATCCTGCAACAATGAATTACCATGTTCTAATTACAGCCTGCGTTCTTTCTCTCTCCTTTGAAGAAGAAAAAGGTGGAGGCAAATGGAAGGACATTTCTATTCATCGGTCCTGATACTACGTTTTAAGATTATCTTATAGCAACATTCTGGCAATATATCAGCATTAACTTTAGAGTCACATTTTCCAAAATGGCAGATGAACTGTGGATATTAGAACTTCTGAGACCACCAAGAGGAGGTTTCTTTACGTAGCAGAGCAAAATAAAAGTGCTGATTTTACCTAATATATAGTTAGAAACATGTGCTTCCTTTGCCTGCTCCAAGGTCCTGGGATTCAGGTATGTGGGTGGTAATTATGGAAGCTGCAGTGTCAGCCAACAGGACACTAGAACACCCGAAGCAATTCTTATCTGGGAAAAGGGTTGTTTTTCTTATTTTAAAAAAAGATAATTTAAAAATTCTTTTAGACACCATGTGGATTTCAATCAGAGTATTTTGGTTGACATGTTCTGGTTATCAGTTGTCAACCCACATGCAAATGAAACAGGAAGGAAATCAAAACGTTAGATGAAACCAGACTCCTCCTGATACTTATTTGACTTCCTCCTGAAGGAGCTCTTGGTGTCCATGCAACTTCATAGTTAAAACAATATAAAATTCAAAAGAACTAAAACACACATTTCAGATTATAGGTAAAGGGTAAAGGACCCCTGACCATTAGGTCCAGTCGTGGCCAACTCTGGGGTTGCGGCGCTCATCTCGCTTTATTGGCCGAGGGAGCCGGCGTACAACTTCCGGGTCATGTGGCCAGCATGACTAAGCCGCTTCTAGCAAACCAGAGCAGCGCACGGAAACACCGTTTACCTTCCCGCCGGAGTGGTACCTATTTATCTACTTGCACTTTGACGTGCTTTCGAACTGCTAGGTTGGCAGGAGCAGGGACCGAGCAATGGGAGCTCACCCCATCACGGGGATTCGAACCACCGACCTTCTGATCGGCAAGTCCTAGGCTCTGTGGTTTAACCCACAGTGCCACCCACATCCCCATTTCAGATTATATGTAAGGAGTAAATCCAGCTAAATAATTTTGCATGCGCAATGACTTCCATGAGTGAAACTGAACTTCCTCTCTCTCTCCTTCCCCATCCTCACCCCTACACCATCCCCAAACCTGGCCCAGGGATTTGGGGAGAAGATCTGGTGTGTGTGTGTGGAGGGTGGAGAGGAAAAGGGAGTCCTGTTGCTTTTGAGGAAGTAATTTGGGGCATGCAAATATTTAGTTGGCTACAACCTCATAATTTTCACACTGCTGAAATCTTCCATTCCTTGCCATCAGGACAGAACAGCTTAATGAAAATTGAAACAACAGAATGAGTTTTAGTACCTCTAATAAATACCTCTTAGATCAGCCAAGTTTGGAACTTCTAATTCTTGAAAAGGTTTAGGATTGACGAGCAAACGTTTTCGAAAGAATGTTCAAGATGGCTGCAGCAGAGATATTTTGTGGGGGATATTCTGTAAGAATTGGCTCTAATGTCTCCTCAAATTGACCAGAGGCAGGGCAGATCAGGAGGGCCACTTGCAGAGAAAGATGCAGCAGAAGCTGCAATACATTCCAGTTTTTTTATTCTGCCTGCTTCTGTCTCTGTTTCTTTTGAGCCCTTAAAAAAACAGGGTATGCCTGGGCACACCCAGAATACTTCTTGTACACGCCTGTGTGGTTTGCTGTATTGACTTCATTTTACATCTCCTTCAAGCTCTCACATTCATTCCCTGTGCCCCACAATTTCAGGTGCAAATTCCCAGCTGCCCTTTGAAAACTACAGTTCCCAGCAGTCCTCAGTGTAGCAGCAATTCAACAAAGGGCCTTGTTCTGTCGTATCCCTTCGATGCCTTGGGCTTTGCTTGGTTCTCAGACAGGTTCGTCAATCTGCTAACATCCACAAAGGCCACTGTGTGCCTAATAAAGCCTGACAGCTCTACCAAAGATACTAGCCAACTTGTTAAATTTTCAATCAAGTTCTAGCTTGGTTTCTTTCCTCTCGCCTCGTAAGGGTTGGGAAAACTGCCACGCAGACATCCTTAGGGGTGCTTCGTTCTCCTCTTCCTTCAAGTCAGGTTTTTATAGCTCTTTTTGCGGTGTTATGTGCAAAGAAGATTGGCTGCTGTTTTTCACGCTGGCCAGAGCTATCTGGCCTTATATGAGAGCTAGCCAGGGCTTTATTTCTACCAAACAAAACCCCCTGGTTCTGGTGCACACTATGCCCCCATCCTTCCATCCCGCTGCCGTTTGCCTGCTTGCAGCCCCCCACCCATCATCCTTCTGCCACTGCCGCTCCCCCCTCCAATCCGCTCCCCCCTTCGCCCCTCGCACCTTTGCCTGCTTTGCCACAACCTTTTTACGACTATTATGCACCTTCCTGGAAGGTGTTTTGGTGATTGTGAAAGATCACCAAAGCGCCTCTGGAAGGCTGTGCAGCAGCAGCGGATGAAGCGGGGGGGAGGGAGAGAGATGCGAGGGGGGAGGGAGCAAGCAGGTAGGCGGGCAAGCCATGACAGCAGTGAGATGGCAGCAGCAATGGGGGGGGGGGAGAGAGGTGGTGGTACAGTTCACGATTTACGTATAAGCTAAACAAGCTATAGCTTAGGGCCCCACACTCTTGTGGGCCCCCAAAAAATTTAAAGGGGAAAAAAGTGGATGTACATTTTCAAAATACAGTGGTACCTCGCAAGACGAATGCCTCGCAAGACGAAAAACGCACAAGACGAAAGAGTTTTCTGTTTTTTGAGTCGTTCCACAAGACGAATTTCCCTATGGGCTTGCTTCGCAAGACGAAACGTCTTGCGAGTTCTTGCGAGTTTGTTTCCTTTTTCTTAAAGCCGCTAAGCCGCTAATAGCCATGCTTCGCAAGACGAAAAAACTGCAAGACGAAGAGACTCGCGGAACGGATTAATTTCGTCTTGCGAGGCACCACTGTATAAGATAAAAAACAAATAAAATAAAACCTACATACAGCAACAGTGTTTTGTGTTGTGTAGGCTCCTATGATGTAAGTAATAGGCCCCGCCTGCTCCCTAAAATATCACTGGTTTGCTCATTTCTATATATAGGGTGCCTACATTCTGCATGTGCAAATGGCTTTAGATACCTATTAGGTCCATAAATTACCATATAGCATATATTCAACAAAAAAAACCAGTGACAATTGGTTGTTGACAAAGGACAGCTGGACCTATAAAGGGCCCCATTACCTTCAGCATACCGGTGCACACTGCCTCAAGAAAAGCACTGCATGTATCTAGTCTCTCTGGGGACTAAAAGCACTTTGGAGTCAGGTCAGCCATTATACACATGGAAATGATAATGAAAATAATAATAATAGAGATTTAAAATTCTGCTCCTTAACCTTTAAAGGATAAGTTTCAAAGCTACAATTCCCAAAGTTCCCAATGAAGAGAGATTGATTGTTAAAACCCTTTGGGAATTGTAGCTTTGGGAGAGGAATACGGGCCTCTTAAGAGCTCCCAGCACCCTTCACAAACTACAGCTCCCAGAATTCTTTGGGGGAAGCCATGACTGTTTAAAGTGGTATCATAGTCCTTTAAACGTATGGTGTGAATGTGACCTATGTTAAATGAGGTTCATTCCCTAGCAAAATTGCTTAGGTTTGCAGACATCTTTGTACTCTGTACAAATGTTGGCTCCTTCGGCCAGTAAAGCGAGATGAGCACCGCAACCCCAGAGTCGTTCGTGACTGAACTTAAGTGTCGGGGGTCTTGTAAAGGGTAAAGGGACCCCTGACCATTAGGTCCAGTTGTGGCCAACTCTGGGGTTGCGGGGCTCATCTCGCTTTATTGGCCGAGGGAGCCGGCGTACAGCTTCTGGGTCATGTGGCTTCTAGCGAACCAGAGCAGCGCATGGAAATGCTGTTTACCTTCCCGCCGGAGTGGTACCTATTTATCAACTTGCACTTTGACGTGCTTTCGAACTGCTAGGTTGGCAGGAGCAGGGACCAAGTAACGGGAGCTCACCCCGTCGCAGGGATTCGAACCGCCGACCTTCTAATCGGCAGGTCCCAGGCTCTGTGGTTTAACCTACAGCGCCACTCACATCCCTCAGGGGTCTTTTACCTTTACCTTTTTACAAGCAGTGAATACAGTGGTACCTCTGGTTACTTACTTAATTCGTTCCGGAGGTCCGTTCTTAACCTGAAACTGTTCTTAACCTGAAGCACCACTTTAGCTAATGCGGCCTCCTGCTGCTGCCTGCCGTGCTGTTCTCATCCTGAAGCAAAGTTCTTAACCCGAGGGACTATTTCTGGGTTAGTGGAGTCTGTAACCTGAAGCGTATGTAACCCGAGGTACCACTGCAGTTGAAGCAAGCTGGCAATCATAAGAGCAATCATAAGAGCAGGCAGCGCAGCTGAGGGTTATCCTACTCAGGGCAGACCCACTGAAATTTATGGACCCAAGTTAGTCCTGTTCATTTGAGAATAACTTAGTTGGTTGCACCTCTAAGTTTCCTTGAGCATTAAAGATGGAGAAGATCAGCAGTTTAAATAAATGATATACATAGGTTGCCATGCAATCCCATTGAAGTGCAGAGAATTGCAGTGTCTCTCTTACTGCTCCTCAGTTGGCCTTGAAGCAACAGTAACATGCACTGCTAGTAACATGCACCCCTAGTAAGGAGTGGCTTTGGCAAATGCCTCTCCTGCTGCTCTCCCTTGTGTCTTGTTTCTTCACCTCAACTCCGCTTCTCAGAACAATGAGCCACCAGTCCCTTGTGTGGCTGCGGATTGATCTTTACCCAACGATGGTTTCATGCCATGGGTAATTCATGAGTCTCCTTTGCTTATCCCCGACATTCAGGAGTCGGTGATGCTTGAATATCTGAGTCAGAGAAAGAATGTGAGGTTGAATGGGGGCAAAGAGAGAGACTCATCAAATTGTCTCCCGAGTCTCTTATGCCATCAACATAGCAGACGCCCATGGAGGCCTCTGTCATCCAAGAATTTGGCTTGCAGCCCAGCCCAACCAAGTACACACACACACACTGCACTGAGTCAAATGCCACTTGGAAGAACAGAATCAGGGCAGAGCAGGAAGGATGATAACATATCCTGGCTGATACTTTCAAACTCAAAGGAAGAAATATAATATTGGTGTAGCCAACGGGAATTTGTGCAAAACAGATGCTCATGCGAATTGAATGCATTTCAAAAGTGCCAATTTCCCAGCATCGCGATACATTTAGGTGCCCATATGGAATTAAGGAGCTGCCTTGTACTGAATCAGACCATTGGTCCAACTAGCTCACTATTGTATGACACTGGCTGGCAGCAGTGCTCCAAGATTTCAGACATGGTTCTCTCTCAGATTTACCTGGAGTCGCTTGCACTGAACCCTGGGAACATCAGTGTGCCAAACAGATGCTCTCCCACTCAGCTATGGTGCTTCCCTGAAAGCAAAAATGAGCCAGGACACAAAATAGTCCAAAAAATCTATTGATTTTTGTTGTTGAAGTGTGTGTGTGTGTGTGTGTGTGTGTGTGTGTGTGTGTGTGTGCCAATGGAAAACATTGGAGTAAAACAATATACAGTGGTACCTCGGGTTAAGAGCTTACCGTATTTTTTGCTCTATAAGACTCACCTTTTCCCTCCTAAAAAGTAAGGGGAAATGTGTGTGTGTCTTATGGAGCGAATGCAGGCTGCGCAGCTATCTCAGAAGCCAGAACAGCAAGAGGGTGCAGCGATCCCTCTTGCTGTTCTGGCTTCTGAGATTCAGAATAATTTTTTTTCTTGTTTTCCTCCTCCAAAAACTAGGTGCGTCTTGTGGTCTGGTGCGTCTTATAGAGCGAAAAATACGATAATTCATTCTGGAGGTCCGTTCTTAACCTGAAACTGTTCTTAACCTGAAGCACCACTTTAGCTAATGGGGCCTCCCGCTGCCGCCATGCCGCCGCTGCACGATTTCTGTTCTCATCCTGAAGCAAAGTTCTTAACCCAAGGTACTATTTCTGGGTTAGTGGAGTCTGTAACCTGAAGCGTCTGTTACCCATGGTACCACTGTACTATGGGTCCCTCTGTTAGGATATTTCCGTTCCACCTTAAAAGGGAGCAGGCTTTGTGGGTCAGAGTCTGCGCATGTCCTGTTCACAGGATGTTTATGTTTGCTATTGCTTTCGTTTCTCTCTGTGTCTGGAGACATCGATGCAGGCAGTCATGGTTTTCTTTGTTCTGATCAACGCTGAATAAAACTTATAAATAATGCTCTCCTGAGTGCGACTTCTGCTGTGCATTATCTGCTGATAAAGAGTGTGCATCGGCTCTAGAATGTTCTGGAGCTCATGTCGCTAATTGCTGATACTGCGTGACTACGGGAGGTCGATGGATTGTCCGGCAGCCGGCTTGGGGGCCATGATGGACTTCATCTCCCTGGCAGTATCCCAACACCAGGGGATGGGTCCCTCCACCAAAAAAACCCCCTAAAACCGATCTACAGAAGCAAACTTGCTACACTCATAATCACTTTCCTGGGTGTAAGCAGTACTGAATTCAACAGGTCTTACTTCGTAGTAGCATTGTGCTAGCTATAAGGACTTTTCTTCTGACACCACACACATGGATTTGTTTTGGAACATTCAAATACCCTGTTAAAATGAGCTCAGAATGTCTTTGTATACTCTTTCTTGTCGTTGTTTATGAGGGTTAACAGTGGCAGAAATTTCTGCAGCGCTCTGCGTGACGCCAAAATTTGTCCCCTTCCAGCAAACCAGTTGCACTCCCCTAAATCCACAAAGGGTTCCAATGGTGAGTTGCCTTTCTTATGTATTTCTAATCCTTACTTCCTTTTCCCCCATTTCTAATCCTCAAAATCTCCAGTGTTCATAAACAATGCACTGGACAAGACGCCAGTTATGAATTGCTCACCGACTATGACAGGAAAGAGGAACTGTGGCCTTCCAGGATTCATTGGACCCTCTACATGTTATTGGACTCCAACTCCCATCATCCCCAATCAGCACAGCTAATGATCAGGGTTGATGGGAGTTGAAGTCCAACAACATCAGAGGGCCACAGGTTTCCCACCTCTGAGCTACGGAGTTCCTCCATTATATGATGAAAGGAAATTATTCACATCCATAAACCCAATTTATAGTTCAAATAGTCACAGGTGCCAAAATTTGTGAGCTCTCTGATAATTGTAGCATTCCTAACATCTGGAGACAGATGCTCTGTTATACTGGATGTAACCGTAAAAGTGTAATCTCTTTGCCATGAGAGCCATCTTGTCTGGTCTGGACTGCATTGAATTCAGTGCTTTGGGAAGGAAAAGTGAGCATTCTCTTTTTATGTTACTTTCAGCAAAAATGATTTTTTTAAAAGGTCCTGCAGCCCATTCATCGACTCCCAAATTAAATATTTTTTTAAAAATTAATATTGTCTTTAAAATTGCAACCTGAGCCTTTTGATGCTTAAATTATTGTGTAATCACTCACACCCAAGTAGAGTGAATATACACCTTGGCATAAAATATTACACAATAAACCCATGCCCTGTTGTGTCTTATTACTTAATTAGCCCATGTAACGACATGATTCGAAATAACCAAAATGGGATTGCGTCATGTGACTCGTTAAAGCAAAGGTGAATTAGTAGCTGCTAAGCGAACTGCAAAGAGAAAACTATTTTGCCACCTTGTTTCATGGACCAATAATGGTCAAGAGATTTGATGGGAGAAGGTGGAAAACTCCAAGAGTCAGCGGAGCAGCAACAATGAAAATTGCATGCTGAAACCATATAATTTGCTTTTATTTGATGTCTTGTCCTGACCCAGTTTGAGACAAGAATAGCAAATGGCATTAAGGAGCCATAGTTGTATTTAAGAGAGAAAGAAATCTGGGAATGGAGCTTGGCTTGGAGTTGTGTCTGAACATGAGAAAAACATGCAAGTCTTGGTTACCGAGTCGGAGACAGAAACTTGGAATACAGCAGTTTGGTGGGCGGACTTAATGGAGGTACAGAGGACTTAATGGAGATACAACTGTGCAGTCTTATGACCTTGCAAAACAAGACAGACCTGGGCCTTGGTCTGGTTAATAGCTAGAGGTGGTTCTTTAGTGAGTATTGATGGCTAGTAAAAATTGCTTAAATGAGCCTTGTTGGCTTGTGTTGGGTGGTGGATACCAGCTATTGACAGAGCAATGGCAGGATCACACCATCAAACTGCAGAAAATAAGAGGGACTAGCTGGAAGCTGCTATTAAATTGTCTTTTAATTAAATCACTTCCGGTCATCCCACTCGACCCGTAGTTTATCTACTTCACAGAGTCTCATTCATGAACATACATATAAAACATATAGAAGCCCCTTCTATATTAATGCTTATTGTGCCAAAAGGAATTTAATGTGGTGGGTGCGGTTATGGGATGCTCATGAATATGGCTCATGTGAAATGAGTAATCTGACATGTACACGATACCATGAAAGTTGAATTGCTTGTTCCTGCTCTAAAGGAGATGGTGTAGTATACAGCATTGCACAGAAATGGCACTGTATCATACATTTTGAAGCACAATATTTTCCCATGAGTACAGAAGGATCCCAATCCCCTGCTCCTGATGACTCTGGGTCACTCTGGGTGGCCTGACCTGCAGCAATCTGGCCAAATCAGCCAGATCAAATTTGGGCTTTGGGTGAATCTGCTACACAGTCCTAGTTCAAATCACAGGCAGCTACAATACTTTGCAAGTGATCTAACACCTGTCAGGGGTTCTTAACCCTAATACACTTTCATAAGCCGCTTCTGGCGAACCAGAGCAGCACACAGAAACGCTGTTTACCTTCCCGCCAGAGTGGTATCTATTTATCTACTTGCAGAACTGCTAGGTTGGCAGGAGCAGGGACCGAGCAACGGGAGCTCACCCCGCCACGGGAATTCGAACCACCAACCTTCTGATCAGCAAGTCCTAGGCTCTGTGGTTTAACCCACAGCGCCACCCGCATCCCTCCATACACTTTCATACCCTCTGACATTTCTCTGATGAAAATTGTTGTTGTTTAGTCGTTTAGTCGTTTAGTCGTGTCCGACTCTTCATGACCCCATGGACCAGAGAGAAAGACAAAATAGAGCAGAGAAGGGGGAAAAAGAGAGAAAAGAAAAAACAATACAATAAACAATACAAAACACAACCTTAACACACTAAACTAAACAAAGCAAAACAACAATTTAAAAACATATACCATACCATTTCATTACTCTATCTTTCATTCCCTTATTTCATCTCACCTCCCTTTTTGTATTCCACTTCTATTACTTGTTTCAGCAATTCCTTTCCATCTTTCTCTATTTTTATCATTATGAATATCTTAACATATTTTTAACCTTATTTTCCATTAATACTGAAATATTTATACCTAACTCCTTATAACATTTCTGCTAAAGCCATAAAGTTTCATTCCAACAATTTTCTAACACTCATTAAATTTACAATATTTATATATATAAACTTTAAACTTTCCCAATCTTCTACCACCATCTCTTCTCCCTGGTCTCGGATTCTTCCAGTCATTTCCGTCCATTCCATATAGTTCATCAACCTGGAGATCTTCTGTCCGAGGCTCTTAAATCTTTTCCAAGTCCCTTCTGCAGTTTTTCTTCATATTCTTTGATGCTGAAGGTGCTGAAGCGCAGGTCTTGGGTGGGCCCCGACCCAACCATGCCCCCATTCCCTCTCGACAGACCAACCAACTTTCCGCAGCTAAAACCAATGTCCATACAATATCTCAAATCATGTTTCAAGGCTCCTCCAGATCCAAAGGCCCCCACAACTCCAATCATCTCCTGACCCAGATTCAGGACCCAAAGGTCAGTAAATCTCTGCATGAAAGAGTCTATCCAACATTCCTTCTCCATTCCAAGCAGGGCTCTAATCTTCAAATTCTGACTTTTTCTATATTCATTCCTAAAAGGCCTCCACTTATAGTCCTCAATTTACCTCTGTAAAACTGGGGCTTCCACTTGTATTATTTTAGGTTCAACAACACCAACATTCTCCTTCATCTTCTCCCCAGTTTGTCCTGTCAAAGTAGGTTCCTGTGTCAAATCCTGAACAATTTCTGTATTAATGGTCAATTTTTGTTCCAAATTAATCACTTTTTGTCCCAAGTTCTCAAGTTTGGTATTCATAGCATCCGTCTTCTTGTGGAGCTGTTCCAACGAATAGCTTATCTTACATAATACAGTCACTAAGGCTCCTTCTGTCAACATTCTTAAAATCCAAGGTCAATATCTATTTCACACAGTTCTTATCTTGCAGCTGGAAAAACCCCAGCTCCACTCTTGTAACAGTTTCAAAAGCTCCCTCTAGAGGGAAACAGTCTCCATTTGTATCAATCCTTTCAAACACAATTTAAACTATAAAGTTAGTTTCAGTTTTCAGTTACTTTTCCTACTTTTTAAACGCAGATGAGGACAATGGAAACAATATATTTCTCTTATTTAGCTAGCTGTCAAAAAAGTCACTCTTTCTGGCAGCCCGTTTCCAGGTTTGGAGCAGTGGTAATTTGGTTTTTCACTCTCTCCTGCAGGCTCACTAGGTCCAAAATTTCCCCCCTCTTCTCCTGTTTCCAAGGGGGGTTTAATAGTTTTAACCGATGGAGATTTAATCATTTACAAAAATAAACTTTCCAAGGCTTTAACTTGCAACTTCTTTGCTTCAATCTGTTTACAAAAAAGGAAGGCGGACTTCCTGTTTAAAACCTTCCCGTTTCGATGCCAAATTAATGAATTTAATTTTCCGTTCTACTCACAGGTAGTTGTTTAAAATCCAATTGTCCACAGGAAAAAGTCAGCGCTCTCCGGCAACAGCGATGCGGCTTCACTCCGTGAAAGAAGCAGTCAATTTGAAGCACCGCGCCGCTCACCCCACTTCGCTCCGGATCCCCAAATCAGGGTTTCCCCGCGAGTAGGGGAGGCGCAAAGGGCGCCAGCCGAATCCCAAGTTCACAGGCTTCTCCCGCCTGTGATTTCAGTGGGTCTCTGCCTTCGCCGTGGCGGTCAGACCCTAATTTCCACGGAGCAAATTCCTCCCGATCGGAGGAACTCCGCCATTGCCTGGAGACGCCAACCCGGAAGTCCTCCATACACTTTCACACCCTCTGACATTTCTCTGATGAAAATTGTTGTTGTTTAGTCGTTTAGTCGTGTCCGACTCTTCATGACCCCATGGACCAGAGCACGCCAGGCACTCCCCCAGTTTGGTCAAACTCATGCTGGTAGCTTTGAGAACACTGTCCAACCATCTTGTCCTCTGTCGTCCCCTTCTCCTTGTGCCCTCAATCTTTCCCAACATCAGGGTCTTTTCCAGGGAGTCTTCTCTTCTCATGAGGTGGCCAAAGTATTGGAGCCTCAGCTTCAGGATCTGTCCTTCTAGTGAGCACTCAGGGCTGATTTCCTTCAGAATGGATAGGTCTGATCTTCTTGCAGTCCATGGGACTCTCGAAAATAGGGAAGTCCTATTCCATAGTAATAATAATTATATTATTTATATAATATGCCCATCTGACTGGGTTACCCCGGCCACTCTTGGCAGCTTTCAACACTGAGATCCAGCGCCGAGGGCCTTCTGGTTGTTCCCTCATTCCAAGAAGCGAAGTTACAGGGAAGCAGGCAGAGGGCCTTCTTGGTAGTGGCACCCGCCCTGTGGAATGCCCTCCCACCAGATGTCAAGAAAATAAACAACTACCTGACTTTTAGAAGACATCTGAAGGCAGTGCTGTTTAGGGAAGTTTTTAGTGTTTGATGTTTTATTGTGTTTTTAATATCCTGTTGGAAGCTGCCCAGAGTGACTAGCGAGACATGGCCAGATGGGCGGTGTATAAGTAATAAATTAATAATAATAATAATAATAATAATAATAATAAACCATTAAACACTAAAAAACTTCCCTATACAGGGCTGCCTTCAGATGTATAGTCGCTTATCTCCTTGACTTGGGGGTCGCATAACTCCATACCCTCCGATATTTCTCTGATGAAAGTACGGACATCCCAAGGAAAAGCAGGACATTCTGGGATAAAAACAACAACTGGGATGGCTTCTGTAAATCTGGGACTGTCTCTGGAAAATAGGGACACTTGGAGGGTCTGAACTTTACAGGCTTTTCACGAGGATAAAGGGGGCAACATATATGCTGCTGTAAAGTCCTTGGATGAATTGCAAGATCAAAAAACCACCACAACAACAAACCCAACAGCCCCGATAAGACAGCTAATTAGACTGGAAAACCATGATGTGAAGTCCATCTTGTCTCCTCATGTTATTTTGAATTGCATTTCACTCATGCCCGACAGGCCTGTGTAATTGGGCTGCACATCACACCTGTCAACAAGCAGACGGCACCTGCTGGGCTAGACCTGCAGCATGGGCAAGTCAGATGCAAATCACAGCATATGCGCTGTGGGTCTGGCTCTAGTTCCAGGTGCAACACAGTACATAGGCGCAGGATTTATGCAGCTCTGTATTTATTCTGATTAATTCCTCCCACCCTGTGCCACATAAGCTGGATGGGTCGCCGTGTCTGCTCATCTCTTTATAAGAATCTTGCAAGATAGGTGGACTACCTTGTGGGTTTAGCAGGGGGCATTGAATAAATACCAATCCAACTGTATATCTTTGCATCAGCTTATGCAAAACCTGTAGCCGCCATGGCGAAGCAACAGTGGCGCAGATCCTCTCCTGGCTACCTTGCCCAGAATGTCTCAGTCTGAGGAAGGACATCCACAGCCCTTCTCCGGAGCAAAGCAGAGAGGTAAAGAGCTAGATGCTGCCAACTTGGAAGCAAAATGGCCAGAAAGAATAAGCAGGCTGATGGTGAGGAAGGGAGATGATGAAGAAGAAGAGTTTGGGTTTGATATCCCGCTTTATCACTATCCTAAGGAGTCTCAAAGCGGCTAACAATCTCCTTTTCCCTTACTTCCCCACAACAAACACTTTGTGAGGTGAGTGAGGCTGAGAGACTTCAGAGAAGTGTGACTAGTCCAAGGTCACCCAGCAGCTGCATGTGGCTCACCAGATTAGGAGTCCACCGCTCTTAACCAGTACACCACACTGGCTTTTGAAAACATTTAAAAACATAGCCAACAGGAATTCTGTAAAAAGAAGGGTCCTTCTCCCCACCTTTCGGGACTTAGGGTCCTGCCCGTTGGGCTTTGAAATAAGCGAATGTGCTGGGACTCAGAGGACTCTCCCTGAAAGGGAGTCTGATAGTTGGCTATTACTTCACTGGGTGTATTTACTTCAAAATGTGGCAAGCCATTCCTACTGTGTTTGGGGACCCTCCTGCTCATTCAACTGAATGAACTGTGGACAACCTGCCCAAAAGTCTCACTCTGCTAGGACTGGTCCTAGCTGCTGTCTAGCAAATGCATTAGGTCCAAGAGGAAGGTTGGATATGAGGTCTCTCAGACAGATGTGCTCTCGGGAAGATCAGGAACAGATCCCCTACCTGTTCTCCACCCCTCTATATCTTCCCTTTGGCTTTAATCCTGGGCTGGGAGCATCTCCTGGGGAAGAATCCTGAGCTGTGGGGATCCTCATTCCCTGTCTTTCTGGTCAAGTATAAAACCTGAGACAGAATAGCCTGCAACTCACATGACAGATACTGACTAGGTTCATTGTTCCCTCATAAACACTATGACGTCACAGATTGCCACGGCAGAAATGTGGAGTATCACCTGGGACCACTCAAGTGACCCTGAACCAGGCTGAGCCCTTGCTTTTACTAAGAATGGGCTCAGAAATAAGTCTCCATGTGAAGGAGAGGGGAATTGAACCTGGCTCACCAGATTACAAGTCCACCGCTCTGAACCACTACACCACACTGGCAGCGGTGGGAAAGAAGGAGAGAGAGTAATGCTGGGTGACACCTCCTGGCCCCCATTTTGGACAGTCTAGTCTAGTCTTTTGAACTGGTCCTGCACCTATCTCTTTCCCCACCCCATTCAGCTATTGCATCTTCCTCTGAGCAAACTTAAGAGGTTTGGTGGCCGGGTCTCATCAGCACTGCACAGAACAAAACAACTGGGTTTTGGGGGGCCTGGACTACCCACTAGCAGGATCCAGTGCCAGATTTACATATAAGCTTAACAAGCTATAGCTTAGGGCCCCACACTCTTGGGGCCCCCCAAAAAAATTAAAGGAGAAAACAACAACTGGATGTACATTTCCAAAATATAAGATAAAAAACAAATAAAATGAAACCTACATACAGCAACAGTGGCAAATGGCTTTAGATACCTATTAGGTCCATAAATTACTACATAGCATATATTCAACACAAAAAACTGGGGCAATTTGTTGTTGACAAAGGACAGCTAGACATATAAAGGGCTCCATTAACTTCAGTAGCTTAGGGCCTCATCAAACCTGAATCTGGCCCTGGCAACGTCCCTACTGAGAAGAGGTCTGACACTGGTTTCCAAACCCATCCAAGACTTGTCAGTTGCACCACCACCTGAATTCTGTGACTACTGAGGTACGGTAAGTCATTCTCTGTGTGCATGGAATTCCCTTCACAACCAGTGTTCTTGCTTAATTGATAGTCCTGCAGATCTCGTAGGCCAACAGAACCCCACAAATGGGTATAAGAAGCCTATCCAGAGCTGTTCAGCTGAGTGCCTACCCTTTGTAAATCATGTTAGAATCATTATTCTAAATCCCTTCCAAACAGTGAACGCTCTATAACTTTGTTTTATGATTTTAACAGGAAGGGTGAATTACCACTGGAACAAGGTGCCAAAATAAAAGGGTAGATTATTCATCATTTGCTTTCTGCAAGCTTGGATCAGGTGCCCTTTGGGAAGAGGGGGAGGGAAGTCTGCTTGCACGTTCTTGGGATTCGTCTGCCTTTTGTTACAGATCATATACTCAACAGTGAATGGCACCCACCTGATTTCAGTTATTAAGGGTAAACTGATGCTCCCACACCTTTATGTGCCCCACATCTGACGTCATATATATGACGTCAGGTGTAGGGCAGGGGTGTGTGGCTTGGCTGAAATGGACTTATAGGCAAAATGGGGAGGCCTGGCCCATCTAATTAGGCCCTCAGCCTGGAGATTCCCTTCTGGTGCAATGTTGTTGTTGTTGTTTAGTTGTTTAGTCGTGTCTGACTCTTCGTGACCCCATGGACCAGAGCAAGCCAGGCACTCCTGCCTTCCACTGCCTCCTGCAGTTTGGTCAAACTCATGCTGGTAGCTTTGAGAACACTATCCAACCATCTCGTCCTCTGTCGTCCCCTTTCTCCTTGTGCCCTCAATCTTTCCCAACATCAGGGTCTTTTCCAGGGAGTTCTGGTACAATATGGTATGGCTATAAGTTTATGCATAGTAATGGTGCTGACTAGAGGCAGATGGATCAGTCTGTTTCTGGACTCAGCTCCGTTTGTTGTTGTTGTTGTTATTGTTGTTGTTTTTAAGGCGTTTTGAATGTGTTATAACACTGTGATGCCAGATGGTGCTGTAGAGTTCTGTCTTTCGGCAACGTGATTTCCCTTTATGAGGTTTACAATGCATTTTCCTGAAACTTTTTTTTGATGTGTCTAGATCCAAATCGGATTCAAATCCCTATCAAGGGACTCCATCCTTTAAATTGAGCTAAGGACAGCATTGCAAAATTCGGAATGCAAAATGACTACCTTCCAAGCTGCAGGGAGTGTGGGCGGAACCTGTCAGTTCATACCAGATTTAACAGAGATAAAATTCCCTACATCTCCTTAGAGGCTGCAAAAGCAGTTTAAGACGTCAGATTACAACAGGAAAAGAAAGGATGAGTGTAAAATGAGCATTTCACACAGAAATTCACAGGATGAAAACCCCTTTGCAAAATTAATGGATATGGAATATTTAAATACGAATGAAAGTCGCCAGATCAGTGGCTGTTAAAATAAAATGAAGGATCAATATTGGAACAGATGCATTTGGACTAAATAAGAGTTTTGGAGCAGGACGAAAGCAGAACAACCTCCGAAGACCAGAGCACAGGAAGTCAAATAAAATTGTTTAATTTGGTATTGAATAATCAGCTCTTTTAATTGTATTGTAATTTGGTGTTGTATTAATGTGCCTTTTATTGGATTGTTATAAATGAAAATTAATAAAAATCATTATACTGCAAAAGAATATACATTTAACCTTGCATATTGGCATGTTTGGAAAGGGACAATTTGCAAACGGTGCTTGGAAAATCCCCCTGTTTCTGCCCTAAGCCTTATATTTATCTGCATTCACCTTGGAATCAGGGCTCCCAAGGCCACCATGAAGCATCTTTTCCAGAAGTTTATGACTGAGGATGTGAAAGAGCATTTTTCATCCAATATTAATCTGCCGCTGGTTGGGTGAGGCTTGTGGAAGGCAATGAGATGTTTAACACAAGCTGCTCACTAAAACACAGACGTAGTTGCAGAGATCTCTCCTTCGCTTTGCTACATGCCTGCCGTACAGCAGAGCTGTAGTTTTCATGGCCAAACTGTGTCACATAAGATTACCTAGGCTTATCTCCTATAATAAAATGCAGGAGACAGAATCTTCCATGGTTTAAAGTTATCTATGGCCGTGTTTGGCTTAGAGAGGAAGTCAGGGGCGTCTTACCCATACAGGCTAGTGGCGCAGGGCGCCAGGGCATCAAGTTCTGGAGGGTGCCAGGGAAGAGGTGGAGGCTGGACGTGGCGCCTCCTGGCATCAGCTCGCCGTCCTTGCCCGCCTCCAGCTGAGCCGGGAGCCGCCACATCCAGCCTCCACCTCTTCCCTGCTGGAGGAGCTGCCCTCCAGCTGCCACCCACCTCCTCCAACCCCACAAAGCTGGGCGCGTCGCTGGCAGCGCCATCCTCCCTAAAAAAGGTCAGCAACTCTGGGAAACGGGGGCTGAACGCCAGAGGGATCTTTGCACCAGGGTGCCAGATATGCTTAAGGCAGCCCTGGAGGAAGTCATGATATCATTTAAGAAAGTGAATGGGGAAAAGGAGGGTGGAATCTCAAAGAAGGGGATGATGGAGAAGATCCAGCTTTGAGAAGTCCGGCAAGGGCTGGGCCATTGTTGTTGTTGTTTAGTCGTGTCTGACTCTTCGTGACCCAATGGACCAGAGCACTCCAGGCACTCCTGTCTTCCACGGCCTCCCACAGTTTGGTCAAACTCATGCTGGTAGCTTCAAGAACACTGTCCAACCATCTCATCCTCTGTCGTCCCCTTCTCCTTGTGCCCTCAGTCTTTCCCAACATCAGGGTCTTTTCCAGGGAGTCTTCTCTTCTCATGAGGTAGCCAAAGTATTGGAGCCTCAGCTTCAGGATCTGTCCTTCCAGTGAGCACTCAGGGCTGATTTCCTTCAGAATGGAGAGGTTTGATCTTCTTGCAGTCCATGGGACTCTCAAGAGTCTCCTCCAGCACCATAATTCAAAAGCATCAATTCTTTGGTGATGAGCCTTCTTTATGGTCCAGTTCTCACTTCCATACATCACTACTGGGAAAACCATAGCTTTAACTATACAGCTGGGCCATTACACTTCGTCAATTGATGCAAACAAGACAAATGATTCCCTCCATTCGTAAGCAAATACAGCAATAAATGAAGTAACTGACACCACGGTTGCTTTCTCACAAGTACTTTTCCCTGGACTCTCCATCCTTTGTTCACACACATTTCCCAGAAGGTGTTGCTATCAAAATGTGACAGTCCAACATCCTCTGTGTTTTCCTGCCATCCTGTGGCCTGGGTTCAACCCCACACGCTAGTGGAAGCCAGTACAAGAGATCCCACTCGCTTCCCCCATTTGCACCCCCATGCCTCCTCCAACTCTGCTGTGGAGCATCAGGAGAACTCCCAGAACAATATAGGCAAGAGGAGAAAGGAGCTTGTTCCATCTGGCAAGCAGGAATGTTGAAGTGCTCACACCCTGAAGAGCAGCCAATGAATTGGAGCAGAGACAAGGAAATGCATGGTGTTGTCCCATTTCTTTTACTAGGTGTGACTCAGCGGGAGATGTGTGGAGGAGACATGCCCCTCATAATGTTTATTTAGGCCTTCAGGGAGGACAAATGAAATGAAATTATATTGAGACATTCTGCTATGCGTCCAAAATATCAGGCTGCAACCACCCCAGGAAATTATAAATGTGGTCTTGACAGCTTCATACGCCAGTCAATATTTGTCCAGCTGTTCAGTCTCAGCCCTGTCCTCATCGGGGTGTGCTCATGGGCCATCCTGTTCAAGCAAATGGCTTCTGTAGGAACCCTACACATGAGCAGCAGGGGTGGGAACGAGCAAACTATCAGTTCATAGAATTGTGGAGTTGGAAGGGACCTCAAGGATCATCCAGTCCAGCTTTGTATTGCGATTCAGGAATCATGGCTAAAGTATCATGACAAATGGCCATCCAACCGCCAAGGAAGGAGAGTCCACCATGTCTCGTGGGAGTCCATTCTACTGCCAAACTGCTCTTACTGCCAGAAAGTCCTTCCAGATGTGAAACAGCAATCTCCTTTCTCGTAACTTGAATCCATTAGTTTGGGTCTTACCCTCTGCTCCTCTTCTTCCCCATCCATGTTGCCTATCATTCTTCAACTTGTAGAAAGCAACTGGGTGAAGTTAGGGACCCACCTCTACTTGTGGAGTGCCCCTCCCCGCCGCCACCCAAATTAGAACCCTGCTTATACACCCCAATATTGCCTGATCATAGCCATGTGTGCAAAATACACATGGTTAGAATGAAAGAAAAGAGTGCCTTCTGAGCACATTCTGAGCCTAGGAATTGGTTCTCAGCACTAATAATAATAATAATAATAATAATAATAATAATAATAATAATTTATTTGTATTGCGCCCTCCCCCAGCCGGAACTGAACAGAGCAGATAGCTCCATCCATGCAAGTATTTCTGCTTTCCTGATGTAACAATCTGCCCTCTTCTCCCCCCGTTTGCTGTTCTAGGGTGTTTTTTGCCACCCTGAGCCAATTTGGGGGTTCTGGGGAGGGGAGGAAGGGGGGAGCCCTGTTGTGCTAGTGGAAGCCCTTTTGTGTACCTTGTGTATATACAGTGGTACCTTGGGTTAAGTACTTAATTCGTTCCGGAGGTCTGTTCTTAACCTGAAACTGTTCTTAACCTGAAGCACCACTTTAGCTAATGGGGTTTCCTTCTGCTGCCGCACGGCCGGAGCACCATTTCTGTTCTCATCCTGAAGCAAAGTTCTTAACCCAAGGTAATATTTCTAGGTTAGCGGAGTTTGTAACCTGAAGCGTATGTAACCTGAAGCATATGTAACCCGAGATACCACTGTACTTCTACTGATGGGACTAGTTGGTTGAGTTAGGGTCTGGAATTTCCCAGACATAGCCGCAATATTTCAGTTGGAAGCAGTGTCTGGTCAGTAATCACTGAAATGTCCAGGAAAATCCAATGTTGGAAGTCTAGATTTTGTTGAATTTCATTTTTATTTTTAGATGGGGGGGGGGGAGAAGCTCAACAATTTTGAAATATGCCATCCCTAAGTTCAATCCAACCCAAAGTTTTTCACACAAAAGTCCATTCCTGGTTAGCTTTCCTTCATTTCTCCTGACAGGTGGGAAAAATCACTTTGTTGTTGCTACTGTTAAACAATAGGGAGTCAGATATTCTTGCAGATCTACTAAGGGCTTGCCAGAAATACATGTGAAAAGGATCTACAGGTTTTAGCAGACCACAAATATAACACTGTTCAACAGTACGATGCAGCAGCAATGAAAGCTAATACTATTCTAGGCTGCATCAACAGAAGTATCGTGTCCAGCTCAAGGGAAGTAATAGTACTGCTCTATTCTGCCTTAGCCAGACCACACATGGAAAACTGTGTCCAATTCTGGGCACCACAGTTTAAGAAGGATATGTCAAGCTGGAACGTATGCATAGGAGAGTGACCAAGATGATAAAGGGCTTTGGAAACCAAGCCTTTTTAAAATTCTATTTCATAACGTTTATACACTGCTTGATTGTAAAAACAAGCAAGCAGGCAAGCAAACCTCAAAGTGGTTTGCAAAAAGATAAAACAAGAAAACCAAGGGGGGGAATTACAATACTTTAAAACATTCAAAAAGTTAAAATACTAAATCAGCTTAAAATTCACACCAGCATTTCTGGGCATGTGGGTAAGCTTGTCTAAAGAAGAATGTTTCTTGCAGGTGCCTCAAAGAATACAGCGAAGGTTCCTTCTTTATATCAATAGGCAGGGAGTTTAGGTGCTGCCACACGAAATAATCGACTTCTTACAAATGCAGAACAGGTAGTATGTGGCACCTATAGTAGTGCCCATTCTGCCAATCAAAGCAGTTGAGTGGACAGATGTGGGATAAGGACATATTTTAGGTAAGCAGATGCCAAGTTTTAAGAGCTTTGTATACTAACCTGGGACACTGGTGGTGCTGTGGTCTAAACCACAGAGCCTAGGGCTTGCCAATCAGAAGGTTGGTGGTTTGAATCCCTGCGATGGTGTGAGCTCCCGTTGCTCAGCCCCTGCTCCTGCCAATCTAGCAGTTTGAAAGCACGTCAAAGTGCAAGTAGATAAATAGGTACTGCTCCAGCGGGAAGGTAAAGTGTTTCCATGCGCTGCTCTGGTTTGCCAGAAGCGGCTTAGTCATGCAGGCCACATGACCCAGAAGCTGTACGCCGGCTCCCTCGGCCAATAAAGCAAGATGAGCGCCGCAACCCCAGAGTCGTTTGCGACTGGACCTAATGGTCAGGGGTCCCTTTACCATTATACCAACCCTGATGACCTTGGCTCGGTATCAGATTAGCAACCAGTGAGATCTCTGAGCACAGATGTTAAGTGCCAACAAGGCATCATCATACGTGTCAACAGTTGTGCTGCAGGCTCCAGTTCAAGTGTGAGAGAAGCCCCATGGACAGCATATAGTGTCCTGATGAGGAACAGTTGATGGAATTGGGTATGTTTAGCCTGGAAGAGAGGTGAATGAGAGGAAATATGTTGGTCACCTTCACATATCTGAAGGGATGTCATTTGGAAGATGGAGTAGCTTGTTTTCAGCTGCTCCAGAAGGTAGTACCCAATGAAATGGATTCAAATTACAAGAAAGAAGATTCTGGCTAAACGTTAGGAAGAATGGTCTCCCTCGGGAGGTGGTGGGCTCTCCTTCCTTGGAGGTTTTTAAGCAGAGGTTGGATGGCCATCTGTCATGGATGCTTGAGCTGAGATTCCTGCATTGCAGTGGGTTGGACTAGAAGACCTTTGGAGTCCCTTCCAACTCTACAATTCTGTGATTCTCTGGTACTGCAAATCATCCAGAGATCTATCAGTAGACCGTGATCAACTGTCTGCCCATCTGTGCAGTCGCTCTGCAGTGAGATGTGGGGAGAACCTGAAGTCCAGGGGCTGAATGGAATCCTCCAGATCTTTCTATCTTGCCCTTGGAACTGTCTTCACTGGCCCTTGCTTTGCACCTCAGGTGTTTTTGCCTGGCTGGAACATGTCCGGCTCTGATGGTGCTGGTCTTCATGGAGGATAGAGAGGAGGTGTTAAGTGTGTGTAGAAGCTAGCCTATTGCATAAAGGCAAAAAATACATTTGCCGCCCCCCCTTTTTCCTTTGGCCCTGTGCACCAAGGGCAAGTGGCCCTTGGAAGGTTGCCTAGAAGAGAAAGTGGCCCGTAGGGAGAAACAGTTTCCCCAGTCTTTGCCCACAACTTGTGTCTGAACACCCTAGCAGGTCTCCTCTTTCATTCTTCCCCATGACCTGCATCTGAAAGGGGTGAAGGGATGGGGAGAAATTCCAAAGCAGTTTGCATTCATGGGAGAAGCAATTTCTGCAAGGATGTGAACCGAAACGCAGCTGGCCTTTGAAATTCCCAGTCCTCCAAATTTTGCAATGCAGCTCTCTTGCTGAGTAATGCATTCAAAAATGCACATTATTAGGGTAAGGCGGACATTAAAAAAAACATGTATCAGTGAAAGCAAAGTACAAAATGCATGATATTGGGGAAATTGTTTTGCAAAGAGGTGTACAGTGGTACCTCGGGTTAAGAACTTAATTCGTTCTGGAGGTCCGTTCTTAACCTGAAACTGTTCTTAACCTGAAGCACCACTTTAGCTAATAGGGCCTCCTGCTGCTGCCGCGCCGCCGGAGCCCGATTTCTGTTCTCATCCTGAAGCAAAGTTCTTAACCCAAGGTACTATTTCTGGGTTAGCGGAGTCTGTAACCTGAAGCTTCTGTAACCTGAAGCGTATGTAACCTGAGGTATCACTGTTTATTGGACAAAACTGCATACAGAAGATGAGCTTGTTCGCACTAAAATGCTGGCGATTTCTTCACAAGGGTTTAACAACAGCAACACACATTTGCAAATTGCAGGGGAAATGTGGAGAGCTGAATTTCAGCTTGGGAGAATGAGAAACGAAAGAAACCAAAACCGACAGCTCCATCCCTCCATCCTTAATCGTAGGCATCCTGAGTTCCTGGGGGTGGTGTCTTGCTGTCTGCTTCCACCATCATCCCCCCCTTGGCAGTGCAGAGAAAGGAGAGGGGCTAGATCAGGAAGTGTGCAGACTGCAGAATGTGGGTCTGGGAGGAGGCAAGCATGTTAAATGCTCTGCATGGCAGGCTGCACACCTTCAGTGCAGACATGTGCTCAAAATGTCTTCACATGGAACCCCAACAAACCCCGCACAAGCGACAACTGCATGTGTATCCAGTGTGGGGGCATGTTTTGTGCGTGCATTTTTATGCGCTTCTAAAGCCCTATAATAGTTTTGAAGGATTAGCTGGGAACGCTGTCGTCTTTATGTTGTTTGCAAGGCTATAAACTACATTTATGACTTGGTTAAAATAACAGAAAGCGGAGCACCTCTGCACACTAATGGTGTATTTACGTTTCCTGCCTTCTCGTCCCACCTGCTTTTCTTCCCCTTGCACTTCCATCCCCCCCCTTCCCTGCCCTCCCCCCGCACGCACTCAGAAGACCCGTAACCAGATCCCATCTCAGATCTTCCTTAAAAGCTGTCATGTTCAATTGCTTTATTAGATGATAATATATCACTTTCGCCTCCCTTTGCCAGGACTGCTTTCAAGAGCTTGTATCATAAAAAAGCACAAATAAAATATTATTGCTGTCTCTTTATGCGCGAGCTGGTATTTTCCAGGGATAATTGGGGAGCGTTCCAGGCCTTACATGAACCTAGAAGCAGGGAGCCAGGCCACCAGTCAAACAGCTGAGCAGCAGGGAGGGCATGGAAGCCGAGAGGCCGAGCTGTGCCACAGCCTTGTTGCTAAAACCTCCCTGGCCCCCTGCCACCTGCATCTAACCGCTGGACCAGGGCCAAAATGGGGAGGGGCGCACATCTGGTGGATGCCTCTCTGCCTTCTCTCCCTTCCTGCTCCAGCTGTTCTGTACTACCTTCAGTGAGGCACCTCTAGGAATGGAAGTGCTTAACAGAAGAAGCTACTGGCTCCATCTAACCCTGTATTGTCTGCGCTGGCCGGCAGTGGTTCTGCAGTGGTGACCTGTGATAGCTCAGCTGGTTAGAGCAGGCATAGGCAAACACCGGCCCTCCAGATGTTTTGGGACTACAATTCCCATCATCCCTGACCACTGGTCCTGTTAGCTAGGGATGATGGGAGTTGTAGTCCCAAACATCTGGAGGGCCGGAGTTTGCCTATGGCTGGGTTAAAGGGAAACATTTAATGTTTAATAGGTTATTGTATTTTAGTGTTCTGTTGGAAGCCGCCCAGAGTGGCTGGGGAAACCCAGCCAGATGGGCAGGGTATAAATAATAAATTATTATTATTATTATTATTATTATTATTATTATTATTATGGTGCTGATAATGCCAAGGTTGCAGGTTCAGTCCCCATGTGGGACAGCTACATATTCCTGCATTGCAGGGGGTTGGACTAAATGATCCTCAGGGTCCCTTCCGACTCTACAATTCTATGATTCCAGGGTCTTTTCCTAGCCCTGCCTGGAGATGTTGGGGATTGAACCTGAGATCTTCTGCATGCAAAGCAGATGCTCTGCCAGTGAACTATGTCCTCCCTTCTGTGAGGTTGGTTGTATGAGAGATTCATGGCTGCTTCTTCTCTCTCCTATCCAGTATTATAATTACAGTAGAGCAGGCTTCCTCAACCTCAGCCCTCCAGATGTTTTGAGACTACAATTCCCATCATCCCTGACCACTGGTCCTGCTAGCTAGACATCATGGGAGTTGTAGGCCAAAAACATCTGGAGGGCCAAGGTTGAGGAAGCCTGCAGTAGAGCTAAGCCAAAATTCTCCACATTCCCCCCTTTGTCTCACTACTACTTCATCCCAGAAAAGGAAGGCTACTTTGCAGATTTTTCTTGGGCTGGTCTCCACTGTTGGTTTTTTTTTTTTGGTGGTGGCAGGCATTCAGGACATCTCACTAGGTCTCGGACTTAGGTGAGGATGAGAAATGGTGGCCAGGCTGCCAATGCAGCTGTGGCTGCTGCTGCCGCAACTTCCAGCAATGAAAGCAAAACTCCAAAAGCCGCAGCGAATGGCAAGTCCTCATCCCTGAGAAACTGTTGGGAGAATGTCTTCTCGCCCTGGAAAAAATCAGTGAAATGGTCAACCCGGTTTCAAGAGTTCTACTTTGTTATTGTGCATTTGTGTCATCACAGCAATTGAGAAAGCTGTCCCAGCTTCTCTCATCTTTTCCATCTGTATTGTCAACACCTTCCCACCTCACCTGCCTTACGCCACACCTGAAGATTTCCTTATCATTATCTGGTGAGGGAGGGGTGGATTATGTGGGAAGCAGACTCTAGTTCCCATTTGCAGAGTATGCGGAAGACAGTCCTGGGTTGTCTGATCCTTTAATTAGTTATTTTTCCCTCCTGTAAAAACCATGCAAGATACCATGCAAGTTTAAATAACATGTAACTTTTACTTCTTTGGCAATCGCTATTAGCCGAGTAAGATTGTCTTCCATAAACACGGTCTTAACAGTGAGTCCGTAAGTGACTGTGGAGGCCAATTCTGGATCCACACATCCTTCCACAGTGGGGACATTGGTTTCTGGGTGGGAGTTGATCATGGTGTGGATTTGTCAAGTGTGCCTTCCTCTTAGCACGTTTCTCCCTTGCATCCTGAGTTCAAGCGTCTTCAAAACCCACAACAACTTTGGTAAAGGCTGTTCTCCAATCGGAGCACTCACAGGCCATTGTTTCCCAGTTTTCGGTGTTTATACTACATTCGTTTTAGATTTGCCTTGAGAGAGTCTTTAAACCTCTTTTGTTGAGCACCAGCATTACGCTTTCCATTTTAAAGTTCGGAATAGAGTAGTTGCTTTGGAAGACGATCATCAGGCATCTGCACAACATGACCAGTCCAACAAATTTGATGTTGAAGATATACTTAGTATACTTAGTATACTTGCAGTTGCAGATTAAATACACAATGAAGTATAACAGTTAACTGTTAAGTTACAGGTAGGTAGCTGTGTTGGTCTGCCATAGTCAAAACAAAATAAAAAAACTCATTCCAGTAGCACCTTAGAGACCAACTAAGTTTGCATTTGGTATGAGCTTTTGTGTGCATGCATAGGGAGAGGTATTACTCAGAAGGGTGGTGGGAATGGGTGATTGGCTGATAGGTGTGGTAAACTGTTGTCAACAGGTCTACCACACCTATCAGCCAATCACCCATTCCCACCACCCTTCTGAGTAATACCCCTCCCCACCCTCTCACTATATATAAAGGTCTGGTGACTTCTGTTTCAGTGTATCTGAAGAAGTGTGCATGCACACAAAAGCTCATACCAAGAACAAACTTAGTTAGTCTCTAAGGTTCTACTGGAAGGAATTTTTTTATTTTGTTAACTGTTAAGACTGTACCAATTGCCATAACTGCCACAGAGTGTATGATGCCATAGAGTTCTACAGCTCTTGCAATTAACCCAGCTCTTGTAATTAACTACTACTACTACTACTAGTACTACTACTACTACTAATTTATTATTTATACCCCACCCATCTGGCTGGGTTTCCCCAGCCACTCTGGGTGGCTTCCAACACAATATTAAAATACACTAATGCCTCAAACATTAAAAGCTTCCCTAAACAGGGCTGCCTTCATATGCATTTTGGATGCTAACATCCCACAGATTATAGGTCTGGGAAAGGGTTGGATACTGTGCAGAAGGATGTCCAAGGCTACCCTACTCAACAAACGCTCCTAAAATAATCCCTACACCCTTTGGACAATTTAAACTCAAGTCTTTCTGCAATTGGGCCTTTGGACCTTATTGACTATTGTTCCCTCCAATGAAACCCTGCAGTGGAGCCATCACCGATTTTCTTTATTTATTGCAATGATATCTATCAAAGGAGCTCAAGGTAGCATATGCATACATGGTTCTCTCTACCCCCCCCCCTCACTCCATTGTATCCTCACATCAGCCCAGTGAGGTAGACTCAGCTGAGAGACAGTGAATAGCCCAAAGCCACTCAGTGAGCTTTGTGGCTGACTGGAGATTTGAATTCTGATAACCCAAGTCCTAGTTCAACACACTAATCACTACACCACACTGAGTAGTCAATGGTTGTCATGGAATATCTTGCAAGCAAGGCTTCTGTTCTGTCCATAGCTGTCAACTTACAGATTTGAAAATAAGGGACCAGCAGCCTCGAAAATAAGGGATCAGCAGCTAAAATAAGGGATCAACAATTACTTTGATAAAATACATATTTTGTTGCGTGCAAATGGCTTTAGATACCTATTAGGTCCATAAATTGCCATATAGCATATATTCAACACAAAAAAACAGCAACAATTTGTTGTTGACAAAGCACAGCTGGACATAGAAAGGGCCCCATTACATTCAGTAGCTTATTTAAGGGACATCATCAATAAGGGACAGCAGAGGGACATGGCGCTGGGATAAGGGACTGTCCCGCCAAATAAGGGACACTTGACAGCTATGGTTCTGTCTGTGCCCAAGACAGTGTACTACTACCTGAAGCAAAACACCCTCTGGCAGTGTTGGATTTATGTATAGGCTAAGCAAGCTATAACTTAGGGCCCTACTCTCTTGGGGGGCCCAAAAAACTTAAAGGGGGAAAAAACTGGATGTACATTTCCAAAATATAAGATAAAAAACAAATAAAATAAAACCTACTTACAGCAACAGTGTTTTGTGTTGTGTAGGCTTCTATGATGTAAGTAATGGGCCCTGCCTGCTATATAAAGGGCCCCATTAACTTCAGTAGCTTAGGGCCTCATCAAACCTAAATCAGGCCCTGCCCTCTGGGGTCAATACTTTAAAATGTCTTCCTGCATCATTCAGAGACCCAGTTCCTGCCTTCAGCTTACCCTTCTTCTCTAGCTCACTGAACTAGTGCGGCCTGAGCTGCTATAGCATGGGTAGGCAAACTAAGGCCCGGAGGCCGGATCCGGCCCAATCGCCTTCGAAACCCGGCCCGTGGACGGTCCGGGAATCAGCATGTTTTTACATGAGTAGAATGTGTCCTTTTATTTAAAATGCATCTCTGGGTTATTTGTGGGGCATAGGAATTCATTCATTTCCCCTCCCAATATATAGTCTGGCCCCCCACAAGGTCTGAGGGACAGTGGACCGGCTTCATGCTGAAAAAGTTTGCTGACCCCTGTACTATAGCCTCACAGAAGTACCTATCCATTGATAGCAAACTGTCCCAAATCCCTCTTGACCTGAATGTCGTTCTATCCTGGCTGGGAAGATAGAGAGCTCTGGTCTCAGATGTTGCCTCCCTGCTTCTCAGCCAATGGGATCTAGCACTGAGCTCCCCTGGGCAGGGTGTCTGTGGTCAAAGGTAGAAAAAGTTGTCCTGACCTGCTTCCCACTAGGAATTTCCTTCTTTGATGGGAGCCAAAAGAAAACCACAACAAGTGCTTCATAATGGGAAGTCACTTTCCCTTGGGCAACCCAGCAGAGGTCACTCTGACCAGACATGTGTGTGTATCTGTTTTCTAAATAACAGCTTCCTGTCGATGAGCCAATAGTGGACGGGTTACTCCTGCTAAATTTTCAGCTTATTTGTCCTGGGTTTACATGCCCTAACACTAGCAGAATGCATATCAGTGAGTGCTGATTTGAAATGCCTTTAATTGACAGCCCATGTGAACTGAAAACTGTCCTCTGTGGCTGCTGTAGGGTTGCCACATTTCATGGCAATAGATTGAACAGAAACTACATGCCACCCTTTGACTTTTTAAGCATGCTGTCACTACCATTATAGGGGTGGGTAGGAAATAAGATGCCTGTTACAAGGCTGAATTTATGATGTTGTTGCAACGATGACAGACAGCTTTACTAACGTGTTGAGTGACATCATTGATCAATATGAGCATACCCACGGCTCGGGCCACTCCTTCCAAGGTTCCTGATGTCATGGCTGGCAAAGTGAAGGGAAGACAAGTGGGAGTACTGTATTTGAAATTTGAAATAAGATTCAGCTGCCAGCCCATTTGGCATGGAACTGGGAGGGTGTCCTCTTGCCCTTAGTCTCAGGTGGGAAAATGTCTTGGGCCAGCCCAGGTAGGAACAATAGGCTGTAGACTTCAGGATCTGACATCAGGTGGAAGGTATTTTCATCTCTGGCAATGGCTCAAATCATAAAGGAGATCTCTGACACGAATTGCTGTTTAGGTGCCTTTAAAGTGGTGCTGTGGTCTAAACCACAGAGCCTTGGGCTTGCCAATCAGAAGGTCGGCTGTTCGAATCCCTGCGATGGGGTGAGCTCCTGTTGCTCGGTCCCTGCTCCTGCCAACCTAGCAGTTCAAAAGCACGTCAAAGTGCAAGTAGATAAATAGATACCACTCTGGCGGGAAGGTAAACGGAGTTTCCGTGCGCTGCTCTGGTTCGCCAGAAGTGGCTTGGTCATGCTGGCCACATGACCCGGAAGCTGTACGCCGGCTCCCTCGGCCAATAAAGTGAGATGAGCGCCACAACCCCAGATTTGTCCGCGACTGGACCTAACAGTCAGGGGTCCCTTTACCTTTACCCTTTAAAGTGGTAGGAGCAATTCTTAGTGTGTGTGTGTTTGTGAGAGAGTTGTGTTTGTGCTTGCATATATTTGTTATTAACAAAAAACCCCAAAGGGTTTCAGCTGGGATCTATGTCAAAAGGCAAAGGAGGAGTTCTGGTCTCCCTGCCAAATTCCAGAGAGGCTAGGATTTGGCCATGGCCTGCCTCCAAAGGAACAGACACCATGATGCAATCTCTCCTTACAGCTGTCAGTAGAGACTTCCCTGACCAGTATGCCACACCAGGAGGGATGCTTTCTGATTTTACTGCTTAGCTCTCACTCTCCGAGATTCATAGCCGCACAACACAGGCTGGGCTAGGGTGGTGAGCAAGAGGCATTGCTTGTCTTGCTTCTTCGCCCAATGAAGCTAGTGTGATATAAAGGTGCAGGAGTTACCTCTGATGGCCTTTTGTGCAATTGAGCTTGAAGACTAGCTTGAGGACACTTGCTATTTTTAATTCCTTTAGGAAAAACAAAAATCAAATTGAGAGGTATTTCTGTTTCGAGGTGCCACTGGACTGCTTTCCACATGAAAAACCACGGGAAGGTTCTAAATGTAACCGCTGTGAGACATGTGGGTATAAAGTGGTATACAAATTTAATTAATTAATAAGAATAAGAAAAAGAATAATAGCATATTAGGGAGAAGGGGTCAAGCCTGGCTTTCCCACTGATACGCTTAATTTTCTACATGCAAGGCTGCCCTTCATTTTCTTCGCGTAAGAAATTTTCAAGACTGTCACTATTTTGCAGAAGTGATTCAGGTGCACACCATAAATTTCAGTTTGTGCAATTAAAGTTGATTAAAGTGCTCTGTTGCCTTAGTGCAGCAAAACCACTTCTTAAAACGAACTGACATTTTGAAGTTAGGAAAGTGACAAGGAAATGGATTGAAAAGTATGGGATGAACAAATGATTAACAGGAAGACGCAAATCAAAAGGAGTGTGTTCTTGTTTGGCCACCCTTTAAACAAATCGGAACAGATGGTCAAAAAAGATGCGATATAGTCCTGTTACTAGGTAAGATTTATACAAAGAAATCAGGGAGTATGGTACATAAAAAGGTAATCTGGAGGAGCCCTTAAGCATTGAGGATTCAAAACACGGTCCAGCACTTGTGTATGAGTGGTACAGTCCCCTAAGAACCCTGTCATGTGGTTTTCCTGAATTTGCAAATCAGCCATGAATGTTCTTTGGTTCTCAGATGTTGTCGACTCCCATCATCAGGACTCCCATCATCCGATGTTGTCAACTCCCATCATCGCCAGTCAGATTAGCCAATGGTCAGGGATGATGGGAGTTGTAGTCCAAGAGCATCTGGGGGCTCACAGTTGAGGAACACTGACAAGCTCCATGCAAAAGGCAGCCCCCTCCTACCTTAATGAGACCCACACATCCCCTGCAACCGCATTTATTGATTTATCTTAATAGCCATGATGAAACAGACACATTTTCCTCCATCTGCATCTCACTCCAGAGCAGCCTGCTGAAATGGGTTTAATTTTGCCCAGTTTGTTGGGTTTGCCCCCCAATAAATTGGGGAAAATCCTTTGCCAATATCAGATTCCTCTCCCAGTGTTGCTGTTCAGGTAACTTGGTTTCACTGCACCACCATCATCACCACCACCACCACCACCACCATCATCATAATATGGCAGCAACAGGGGACACACTGGTTGAAGAGGCAGAATTACACCAGCACAGACACAGACCAGGTACAAATGGCAACAAAGCCAGAGACAACTCAGACTGCTGAAGAAGCATCCTTGCTCTGTGCTTCTTGGGGGCATCTAGTGTTCTCTGGGGTACCTCCCTCCGAATAACTCCCTGACCTGAGGTTGTATAACTTAGAATGATCACGATCATGGTAAAGAGAAATTGGCTTCACACCAGAAAAGAGTAATAGTCACCCATCACTTTTGAGCACAGCAGTTTAGATTTATGCGCTAACTTTCTTTAACCTTCTGACAATGGGCATCGTTTTGCATGTGTTCCAGGAAATCCTTTTCAAGAAGGCATGTAAGTTCATGTTCACCTGGTGTCTTAAGCATAGATAGTCACAAAAAAACCAGAACTTGCCTGTTCCTGCTTTGTTAATGAAAGGTTATGAGTCACAGTTGGTGCCACCAACAGACTAGAAGCTAATGAGAAACAAATAAAAAATAATGTAAAGATGAAACACAGAGATGGTGAAAGAGGACAATGGCAACACAGTTCATCACCTCTGGTATTTAGGATGGGGGAAGTTCGTGGAATTCTAATTTGGGTTCGGATAGACTCAAAAATAAGCCATGGACATTTCCTAATATTTTGGAGAATACTTAGGCTTATTTCTGAGCCCATTCTTAGTAAAAGCAAGGGCTCAGCCTGGTTCAGGGTCACTTGAGTGGTCACAGGTGATACTCCACAATGCTGCCGTGGCGATCTGTGATGTCATCTGCATAGTGTTTATGAGGGAACAATGAACCTAGTCAGTATCTGTCATGTGAGTTGCAGGCTATTCTGTCTCAGGTTTTATACTTGACCAGAAGGACAGGGAATGAGGATCCCCACAACTCAGGATTCTTCCCCAGGAGATGCTCTCAGCCCAGGATTAAAGCCAAAGGGAAGATATAGAGGGGTGGAGAACAGGTAGGGGATCTGTTCCTGATCTTCCCGAGAGCACATCTGTCTGAGAGACCCCATATCCAACCTTCCTCTTGGACCTAATGCATTTGCTAGACAGCAGCTAGGATCAGTCCTAGCAGAGTGAGACTTTTGGGCAGGTTGTCCACAGCTCATTCAGTTGAATGAGCAGGAGGGTTCCCAAACACAGTAGGAATGGCTTGCCACATTTTGAAGTAAATACACCCAGTGAAGTAATAGCCAACTATCAGACTCCCTTTTAGGGAGAGTCCTCTGATTCCCAGTACATTTGCTTATTTCAGAGCCCAACAGGCAGGACCCTAAGTCCTGAAAGGTGTTGAGAAGGACACTTCTTTTTACCGGATTCCTGTTGGCTATTTTATAAAATGTTTTTAGAAGCCAGTGTGGTGTAGTGGTTAAGAGCGGTGGACTCATAATCTGGTGAACCAGGTTTGCTTCCCCACTCCTCCACATGCAGTTGCTGGGTGACCTTGGGCTAGTCACACTTCTCTGAAGTCTCTCAGCCCCACTCGCCTCACAGAGTGTTTGTTGTGGGGGAGGAAGGGAAAGGAGATTGTTAGCCGCTTTGAGACTACTTAGGGTAGTATCAAATCCAAACAACTCTTCTTCTTCTTCTTCACCAAGACTTGCCACCTGGCTTCCAACCCAGAATCCCTTTGGTCTCTGTGGGTCTACTCCATTCTTCCTATTCCTCCTTTCCCTTTGGTTCCTTACTTGCCACTTTCCCTAACAGATGTACGGAGCTGCCCCCAACATTGGGTGGGGAGTGTCGCACGTGCATGATGCCACAGGTGTGCACCCTCTCAATCTGGCTGGGACAACCCGGCCCCCCACCCAACCCCCACTGCCGGCCGCCTTACCTTCTTAAAAGGGACGCACCAGTGCAAACACGCTTTGCCCTGGTGTGTTGTTTGGAGGATTGCCACAGAATTGGGGGGGCTGGGTCCATCCTGAAAAATATTGGGGATGACTCCCCTGTTACTTAAGCACTGGCCATGCTGGCTGGGGCTGACCGGAAATGGAGTCCAACATCTAAAGCGCCATAGATTCCCCACCCATCAGCTTAGGGCACATCCATGCTCAGCGTGTAGACAGGTTTAACAATACAGTGGTGCCTCACAAGACGAATGCCTCGCAAGACGAAAAACGCGCAAGATGAAAGAGTTTTCCGTTTTTTGAGTTGTTCCGCAAGACGAATTTCCCTATGGGCTTGCTTCGCAAGATGAAACGTCTTGCGAGTTCTTGCGAGTTTGTTTCCTTTTTCTTAAAGCCGCTAAGCCGCTAAGCCGTTAATAGCCGTTAAGCCACTAATAGCCGTGCTTCGCAAGACGAAAAAACCGCAAGACGAAGAGACTCGCGGAACGGATTAATTTCGTCTTGCGAGGCACCACTGTAATTCCCTTTCCCCAAGGAAACTGGGAACTGTAGTCCTGCGAAGGGGAGCTGGGGTTGGTAACATAGGACTATCAACATCTCACCGCATTGTAATTCCCAGGAATCTTTGAGGGAAGCTATGACAGTAAAGCTAAATATAAAACCCAATATAAGCTTGTAGATAGGGCAGGATCTCCCTTTCTCTCCCTCTCTTGTTGTGAGATTTATTGAATCAATTGGATAATTTAATGACTGTGTGCAGCTAGGCATTGCTGTTTAACGATAGTAAATTAGATTATAAAAAACCCCTCCAAGAATCAATTTGGACTGTATTTTAATGATCGGCTGCATTCCCCCCCCCTTTTTGTATGGGGAATGATAATTTGTTGTTTTTTGCTATGATTCTGTCTTGACTATTTCTTAAGTTGTAAAATGTCAAAGTCTTTATCAATAAAAAAAAATAATGTATGAGAGGGAGACATTAATGCTTAATACTCAAAACTCGTATGCAGGCTAGATCCAGTTAGGGGCTTCAGTCTGACACAAGTTTGCTGTCATAGGAAGCTGCCATGCACTTGAACCTTGGTTCTCTGGGATTTCAGGCGGGATTTTCCCAACCCTACCTGAAGAGGAGGGAGATTGAACCAGGAGCCTTCTGCAAGCAAAGTTACTGATGTCTGAAGAGGACAATGCAGAATCAAAACTCTTATTATATATTTCTTGGTGGTGGCCAGATGGACTATTGCCCACGGGTGGATAAAAACATTGAACTTTTCCCCTTAACATCTGGTTTAATAAGGCCCTGAATATTGCAGTTTCCGAAAAAAATGACTCATTTGATGCATGTTTCACAAGGCGCCACTAAGTCAATGAATTCTGTTGCTACATGGAGGATGTTGTTGATGTATCTTAAAAAACAAACTTATGGCTGGTGCTTTCCCACTGAATTTGATTACAATGGTACTAATTGCATATGACTATACAGTACCTTACTATCGGCCTTCTTTGTTTCCACAAAAATAATATTCCCATTTTCTTGACTGATCCTAGATTGAACCTTTCTATGTTCCCGAGTAATATCTAATTATGCGTCATGGATCTATAATGGTTCTTTGCTTTGTTGGATTGTATAATGTTTTGATTACTCATGGGTTCATGGAATCATAGAGTTGGAAGGGAACTCCAGGGGTCATCGAGTCCAACCCCCTGCAATGCAGGAATCTCAGCTCAAGCATCCATGACAGATGGCCATCCAACCTCTGCTTTAAAACCTTGAATGAAGGAGAGTCCACAGCCTCATGAGGGAGACCCTTTCACTGTCAAACAGCTCTTTATGACAGTTCTTCCTGATGTTTAGTCGGAATCTCCTGTCTTGTAACTTGAAGGCAGTGGTTCGAGTCCTCCCCTCTAGAGCAGGAGAAAACAAGCTTGTTCCTTCTTCCATGTGACAGCCCTGAAATAGTTGCAGATGGCTATCCTATCTCCTCCCAGTCTCTTCTTTTCCAGGCTAAACATAACCAACTCCCTCAACCGTTCCTCATAAGGCTTGGTTCCCAAACCCATGCTAGAACTGAAATATTAAATTGCTATTTCCCAATAAAATGGTGCTGTGGCACTTCTGGGAAGCTTGAGTGGTGCCTCTGAGGTCAATGTGTTTATACTGTACGTAAAATGGGTTTGCTTCAGACTGTCAATCACATTTAATTCCTATTGAAATCAACTGAGCCAAAGTTGGTCATGACTAATTCCACAAAGCTTATGACATAATAAATGTTGTCCTTGAAGGTGACACAAGTCTCTTTGTTGTTTTTCCTGCAATAGACTACATGGCTACCCTTCTCTATTTTTCCCACCTCCCACTTCCTAGCAATTTCTCCTCCCACTTCCTAGCAACAATGATTTCATTATAAAGTTGATCTAGTTTGGTCGTATGACATACATTGGCAAAGAGCAGTAATTCAGACAGAATGATTCCTCATTCAGAAAGCATTGCCTTTACTCTGAATGAGCTTCGCTTGCACTCAGTGAGATCATGTAGCCAAATTTGATTGGGTATGTGATGGTGAGGCCTCAGCTATTAGGAAGAAGGCATTTTGAAGGGGGGAAATTGAGCTGAAAATGCAACTGATTGAAAACGTAAAAAAGATGAATTATGGTGCTGTTGTCTGAAAGCCAGGATGGGAGAGGGGTGTGATCTAAGATGCATGGGGACGGGGGAAGCACAGGAGGCCTGAATATGTGGGAAGAAAGACCTGCAATGTCATTACACACGGGGAGGGCACTTTTTATAGGGGAGAAGGTTTCTGCAAAAGCCAAGCCCTTCATTTGACTTATTCCGACTAATTTGCCTCCAATATCCTCCTTTGCTAATTTTGATGTTGTATCATCTGCAGCTATAGAATCACTGATTCTTGATTTCAGTATAATATTGGGCATCGCTGGCAATGACACATGATTATATTTTTATAAAACCATATTTAATAGTTGGCATGCAACCATATGCAATATTTAACTGTATATGATTGCTAGCATGCAACGGTATTTAATACCTGTGAGGGCTGGGCCATGGGCAGTAGTCTAAGCTGGGAAACAGGACTTGCGAGATAATGCCATTATTCTTCAGCCAGGACTGAAGAATAAGTGAGACATAAAGGACTGAGCAGGAAACAGGACTGAGGAACATGTCAGAAATCAGCACATGCAGGTCTTGCTATCCGACCACAATGTGTCCTCAGGAAAAGGCTTGTTAGGCAAGTATTTGCATAAAGAGTCAATGGTTTCCATTGATTCTATGGGGAAATTTTTAATGTGTTCCCGACCATGGAATTTTTACCCCAAAATGATGACAAAGCCCTCTGAAACCTTGCAAAAGGCAAACAATGAAGGGAAAATCCTCTTTTATTTGTCCAATCTCTCATCCACCCTCCCTCCCACCATGGTTTCTTTCGAAACAGCTGCCACAGACCATCAAAACACAAAAAGTAGAGTTTGTTTAAGGCTGGTTATCTGTTTACGGTACTACATGCAAGTCTGGCTGTTTGGATATCTGAATATGTGGTGGTGCTTTGGGTACTAATTCATTGTGTTTGGATAATTTTTGTATAACGAGCATTGGGATAGTAGGACCTGTGTGTACTATTTGTTACCTCCACAGTTGGAGGCGGTAGACTTCTAAATGTTGGTTGTTAGGAATCACAAGTGGGAGAGTGCTGTTGTGCTCATGTCCTTTTTGTGAGGTTCCCACATAAAAGCATCTGGTTGGCTACTTTGAGAACAGGATGGTGGACTAGATGAGTCCCTGGCCTGCTCTAGCAGGGCTCTTATGTTCTTAGAACCGAGGAACAATCCAGAACTCAAGATCGAAGAGCAAGTTACGAATGAAGGACAAGCCAGAACTCAGGATCATGAAGCAAGCCAGAATGAGGACTGAAGAGCAAGTCAGCCCCAAAGAGTGAGCCCAAAGTTTGGTCCAAAGGTCAATAAAAGGATTTTAAATATTCTAGACCTCAGGAAAACCTTGTTTCAAAAACAAGGCTTAACTGGAACAGGAAGTTGATTTGCAGTTCTTCCTGTCGAGGAATATACAGTGACCAGTTTGGGAGGTCCTCAAGGTTTAGGGATGAGAACACTATACTAACAATTTTGAGAATTGTTGTTGTTTAGTCGTTTAGTCATGTCCGACTCTTCGTGACCCCATGGACTAGAGCACGCCAGGCACTCCTGTCTTCCACTGCCTCCTGCAGTTTGCCCAAACTCATGCTGGTAGCTTCGAGAACACTGTCCCACCATCTTGTCCTCTGTCGTCCCCTTCTCCTTGTGCCCCAATCTTTCCCAACATCAGGGTCTTTTCCAGGGAGTCTTCTCTTCTCATGAGGTGGCCAAAGTATAGGAGCCTCAGCTTCAGGATCTGTCCTTCCAGTGAGCACTCAGGGCTGATTTCCTTAAGCATGGAGAGGTTTGATCTTCTTGCAGTGCATGGGACTGTCAAGAGTCTCCTCCAGCACCATAAGTCAAAAGCATCAATTCTTCGGCGATCAGCCTTCTTTATGGTCCAGCTCTCACTTCCATACATCATTACTGGGAAAACCATAGCTTTAACTATACGGACCTTTGTTGGCAAGGTGATGTCTCTGCTTTTGAGACTATGTCGCTTCAAATAGCAAACTCCATTTTGGAAATAATGCCTTGTAGCCAATCTTAGTCATAGTCAGAGTAGACCCATTAATATTCATGGTCACAACTAATTTAGGTCCATTACTTTCAGTGGTTCTACACCAGGCTTCCTACACCTCAGCCCTCCAGATGTTTTGAGACTACAGTTCCCAGCATCCTGACCACTGGTGCTGCTAGCTAGGGATCATGGGAGTTGTAGGCCAAAAACATCTGGAGGGCCGAGTTTGAGGAAACCTGTTCTACACTGAGTTTTACACTGAGTAGACTCATTGAAACTCAGTCATGTTCATTAATTTCCATGGCTCTACTCAGAATAAAATTTAGCTGAATGCAGTACCACTCATATTGTCCAATCTTAAAATAGACCCCCCCCCCTTTTAAGGATTTTGTTCCTCAAAAAATACATTTGGGATTCATTTTGGGGGTGCAGCCTTTAATCTCTCTAGCCTACTGTATGCTGTCCCCCAAACTGCTGGGGGGGGGGGGCGGATTGTGCTCCCAGCATGAATAAGTCGTTGAGACTGATTTCAGGTTCCCTGCTCCATGGTGATATACATCAGCTGAACAGTTTTAATATTCCTCCAGAAGAGGGCAGTGTTAGCTACCTTCCCAGAGATTAGCCCTTCCTAGCTGCTTTGCGCCATGTGCCAAGCACACCTCCTGGGTCAGCAGAAGCACCACTTGCATCATAAACAAGTGATACATGCACAGTGTCTGGGCCTGCCTGTTGCCCATGCTGTAAAATGCTGCAGGTCTGAGGCTGGCTGGTTTTGTGTGTGTGTCTCTTCTGCCCCAGCCCCCCCCCCCCCGCATACTTTTTGTCAATCTAAGATCACTAGAGTAATAAAAAGGCGAGAGACGGAGTCAGAGACAAGCCTCTTCCCATTCCCATTTAGAAATCCCTGGAGTCAGCCTGTCTTATGTGTGCTGAGATAAGTCTGCTGCCAAGCCTGGAAGTGGCTTTGTTTCTGCAGCTTAAAATCATATTGGAGCGACGTGAACATCTGCAAATGAATGAGAGCTTCGCTTGTCAAGTCGCTGGAGAAGAAATATGACCCTGGGAGCAATTCTCCCATATCCTTTGGCCATTTCCAACACACGTTGCTCTTGGTTTCTCCTTGTATCATGGAATCAGCACAAGATGCAAAGGTGGCATTTTGGCTCCTTTGTCAACAACAACAAGCCATTGGATCCATAAATATGCCCCCATTTCCCTCTGCATTGGCGTAGCCAATGTGGTGCCTTCCAGTAGTTACTGAACAACAGCTCCCATCATTCCTGACTATCAACCATGCTAGCTAGGTCTGATGGGAGCTGGAGAGCAGCACATTGGCTTCCCTGCTCTGCATGGCCTAGTAGCTCTCCCACGTCATCTTTGAAGTCAGACCAGTACATTTCTGAGCACAATTCAAAGTGTTGGTGCTGACCTTTAAAGCCCTAAATGGCCTCGGTCCAGTATACCCGAAGGAGCATCTCCACCCCCATTGTTCTGCCCGGAAACTGAGGTCCAGCTCTGAGGGCCTTCTGGTGGTTCCCTCGCTGCGAGAAGCCAAGTTACAGGGAACCAGGAAGAGGGCCTTCTCGGTGGTGGCACCCGCCCTGTGGAATGCCCTCCCACCAGTTGTCAAAGAGAAGAACAACTACCAGAGTTTTAGAAGACATCTGAAGGCAGCCCTGTTTAGGGAAGCTTTTAATGTTTAACTGACTATTGTATTTTTATATTCTGTTGGAAGCCACCCAAAGTGGCTGGGGAAACCCAGTCAGATGGGCAGGGTATAAATAGTAAATATTATATTATTATTATTATAATATTATTATTATTGTACTTCAATTGATAAATTTTATGAATCTTTGGGAAAGAGAGCAACTCCTGAGAGTATGTCAGTATCTTGAAAAGAAAAGAAAAGAAAAGAAAAGAAAAGAAAAGAAAAGAAAAGAAGAGTGAAGAACAGTGTTATATATATAAAAAACAACTGCTCCCTTTCCCTTATGGGGTATTTCAGAGCCCATATAGAGTCCTTAAGTGGGTTTCCTATTGGTAGGAGAAAATAACAGAGGCCAACCAGAGTATATTGAGAAGCAAAGTGGCTAGTAAGCCTGATCTTTACTCAAGGAACTGTTGCAACAGGGGCCCCACTCACCACACACAGGGAGGAGAACCCTGAACAATGGTGCGCAAGCCCTTATATAGACTTTTGAAATTGCCCACCCTGTAGTCCAAGACCACCCCCCTCCCAAACATCATACATACATCACAGAAGGAGGCGGTCTACAGTAGAAATACATCACAGGAGGTGGTCTACAGCAGAAATCCTGTCTGCCAGGATACCTGATAATGGTCACTGGTTGCTTTACCGAGGCAGCCTGGCCATTCTTTTGTGATGGTAAATACTTTAATTCCTGAATCAAGGTCATAGGCTCACCCTATTCATACACAAATATGCCCTTAAGGCAGGATTTGTAAGCAAAATATAATACGGCTTTCCCCGTTTTCCTCCCTTACTGCAGAGGAATATTTGAGGTCATTGGGAGAGTCAAAATGACTTCAGGGTTGCTCTCCCATACTATTTCAGACACATGGTTCATATATTTAGATATGTGTGCATTTGTGAA